ACAGACATGCGAATGGCTAAGAAGATTAAAGACCCTCTTAAAGAACAAATAGGTGGGAAAGCTTCTTTTACCAGCTAGGAAGACTTACTGCAAAGGTATAATATAAGACAGTGTAATTTTGGCTCAAGGATAAAAAAAAAATAGGCTGATGCATGTGTGCTTGAAATTTGACAGGTCATAGTGCAGTTAGGAGAGAAGGAAGGACCTTTCAGGAAATTGCACTGGATTAATTTGTTTTTCATGGTGGGAGGCGGGGGGGAGTGGGAATTGTGTTACCATGCGCAAAAACCAAAATGACAGTGGGTTGCAGTCTTGAATATGAAAGACTTTGTAAAGTCTAGTTTTTAAAAATATTTACTTATTTGAGAGAGAGAGAATGGGCTTACATGTGTGAGCAGGGGGGAGGGGTAGGAGAGGGAGAACTAGAGAATCTCCTGTGAACTCCCTGCTGAGCACAGAGCTCTTAGGGCTCAATCTCACCACCCTGAGATCATGACCTGAGTGGAAATCAAGAGTCGGAGACTAAGCCTACTGAGCCACCCAGGCACCCTAGGACTTTGTAAAACTTCAGAAGAAAATGTCAGAACCTGTTGTAATGACCTGAGTGTCAGGAAGAACTTGAGGGCATAAAAAGCTGTAATTGAGACATAGATATTTGACTACATTAAAGTTAATACATTGAAATTCATCAAAAGACATCATAAAGTGGAAAGATAGGCCCCAAATTTAGAGAAAATATTTGCGACACATGTAACAGGAGATTAGTACCAAGAATATATGGAGAATTTCTTCAGAGAAGTAGAAGAAGAAAACAGTCAAAAGGCCCACATGGCCAGCAGACACAGAAATAGGCACAGCCTTATTAATTCAGAGAAATTAGAACCACAGTATGATACATTAAATCTGACAAATACTAAGTATCATGTGGATGTGAAGTAATTGTTAGTAGGATACAAATCATTATAGGTCTGTCCACTCTGGAAAACATGGCACTAACAGAAAAGTGACAGACCTCTGTACTCTATTTTTTCTACACATCCTGGAGAAATTCTTGCATATTTTTATCAGTATGCATGTATAAGGATGCCTGTAGCACCATTTTTCTGTCTTGCTTTTTTAAGATATTTATTTATTTGACTGAGAGGGCTGGGCACAAGTAAGCAGAGCAGCAGGCAGAGGGAGAGGGAAAAGCAGGCTCTCTGCTGAGCAGGGAGCCTGATGTGGAGCTTGATCTCAGGACCCTGGGATCATGACCTGAGCCGAAGGCAGAGGCTTTAACCCACTGAGCCACCCAGGCGCCCCTCCCTTTTTTAAATGTAGAAATGTATATAATGTAATTTACAATAAAGTAAAGGGAGAATCAGTCAAAGGGCAATGAATTAATGAAGTTGGAATACAGAATTTTCTCAAACCAGAGAAATGGGATGCTTTGGAAAAAATTATTTTTTATTATAATTAAAAATGAGAAATTTGAGTATCTCACTTGGACCATATAAAAAACAATTTAAAAAAAACTTTAAAGGCATATTCGGTAAAGTTAGACTTGAAACTTAATTTTTAGAGACAGCTTTTGATAAAAATAATCAAAACCTCATACTGCAGGTATTTCTGGTTATCTCATCCACTGGCAGAAAAAAGCAAACATTTAAAACTTGATTCATTCATTCAGCTCTGGTCTTTATTCATTTCTTGTTACTGGAATTTCATATTTTTTCCTTCCTGTTGGCTGAGTAAACTGGACCATGGTAGAGATAAGCCAACATTTTCTCAGGTCTACCTTTCTAAACCTCTAGAGTTTTTTGGGTTTTTTTTTTGTTTGTTTGTTTTTAAATTAACATATAATGTATATTTGCTTCAGGGTTACAGGTCTGTGATTCATCTCTTACACAATTCACAGCACTCACCATAGCACGTACCCTCCCCAGTGTCCATCCTCAGGATGTTTCCTGGGATTAAGAGTCTTCTTATGGTTTGTCTCCCTGCCCTGTCCCATTCTGTTTCATTTTTTTCCCTCCCTACTCCCTACAACCCCCTGTCCTGCTTCTCAAATTCTTCATATCAGAGAGATCATATGATAATTGTCTTTCTCTGATTGACTTATTTCGCTTAGCATAATACTCTCTAGTTCCATCCACGTAGTTGCAAATGGCAAGATTTCAGAGTTTTTGATGGCTGTAGAGTATTCCATTGTGTATATATACCACATCTTCTTTATCCATTTATTTGTTGATGGACATCTAGGTTCTTTCCATATTTGGCTAATTGTGTACACTGCTGCTATAAACATTCAGGGGCACATGCCCCTTTGGATCACTGCATTTGTATCTTTAGGATAAATACCCAGTAGTGCAATTGCTAAATCATAGGGTAGCTCTGTTTTCATCTTTTTGAGGAACCTTAATGGAGCAGCTGCTTTTGACTTTGCTAACATGTGGCTTAAGGTTTTCTGGGTATCTTCTACTGGTAATTGAACTTCTGGAGCTACCACTGTTGAGGTTTGCTGAGAATGGGTTTTGAAAAGGAAATCTTGATTTTCTTTATCCTCTTTGTTACTCATGTCTCTAGACTATCTTTGGAGATTAAGGCCCATGTGAGATAGATCTTGTAGTCTACTCCCCAAGGGAAGTTGGAATATTGTAGTAGATGCTTACCAGTAGGAATGTGGTGTTGGTCTTGCTTTTGCAACATTATATGCTTTCCCTCATTCTCATTATTGTGGCAGTTCTATTGGGCATGGAGATCCCTTATCTCTCCTCTTCAGCAACCTCAACTACAGCCTTTCCATTTCTTGCCAAAAGTTATTCTTTATGGTAGTCTAGTGTTTAAGTACATCTTCTTTGGAGTCATTTGCTATTGATAAAATCCTATCAGTGTCTTAAATTAAAATACTCTATTTTTCCCAAAACCTTTTCTGCAGTCATCTTGTTCCTGCTAGTGGGTATTGCTCTTTTGAGGCTGTCAGGGGTGGTAGGTTTGGGAGACAGTAGCTGATGTTCTTAGCCTCACTACTCATGTTGTGGAGATGGTGATAAATGTGGGGTTTGTTGTAGCAGTGGTAGCTCCTCCTAGATTGTAATGGCCGTCATCAGGGCAACTCATGGCTCTCTGGGGTCCACTCTTTACTTCTTCTACAGTTAAACTCAGTCTCTCTTTTTTTTCCATATCCTGTTGCAGCCATCTATGGAGATACCTGCTTGGATCTCCCTTTAAGGAACTTACCACTCCTTCAGCTCTAGGGAGTGCATTATAGTTCATAGCCTCTAGGTATTAATAGCTTTAGGCTCCTTAGATTTTGTGCCAAGGCCTTGTGTTTCCTGGGAAACCTCCAGCCAGTGACTGAGCATCGTGTGGGTACTAGGGTATTTCCATTTTGGGCCAGTGTGGGACTGTTTTAATGGGCAGTCTTTGCTTTGGATCTCCCTGCTGGGTTGGGTAGCACTTTGTCAGATCTGTGTCAGGGTCTGAGGCTTTCTCTGCTCAGTCCTATTTTATGTACCCTTTCCTTCACAGGTTTCAGATCTGTATCACAGTCTGAAAGTTTTTCATGTCTAGTCCTCTTGTACCCCGCTTTATCTTTCACAGTAAAACTCTTATTCACCTATCTCAATGTCTCCTTCCTGGTGGACCTGACTGACACAGACCACTTCTGACTGTTTACCTAATTTTTGTCCGTATTAAATTGCAGTGAATATATTACCCAATTTCCCCTTTTTATAAGCCTCTCCCTTGAATCTTCCCAAGTATTTCCTAGGTTATTTCTTTTCTACCCCCAACACCCAGCTCTCTAATGTCCATTTATCTCAGTAAGTGCCTTATTATTACAGTAACCTTGTTTGTTTTGTATACTATATATCTGGATTTGTGGTTTGTTTGTTCGTTTGTTTTTTTTAAGGTAGTCAAAGAGGTATAAACTAAAGGTATAGTATTGATGTCCCAAGGATTTCATTCAGCAAATACATGTGAAAATTCCATATGTTCAGCATTTTATTAAATAATATGAAGATGCAGATCTATAACAAATAGTTTTTATCCTTTAATTAATGAGTGGGTGGGTAAGATGAAAACAAGTTAATAAAAAGTACACAAATGCTTCAAAATTTATCAATCTGCTTCTAGGAATTTGTTCCAAAGAAATAATCTGACAAATGTATAATGACACATGTACAATAGTATTCATTGCAGTGTTTATAATAGCAAAAAATTGCACATAGCCTAAGTGACCATCAGTAGGTATGAAGTAAATTGTAATAAATATAATGGAATATTCTGTAATAAGTAAAAATAATTACTTAGTTTTATTGTTATTAACAACATCCACAGTCTGTTTTAAGAGGGAAAACAAGTTAATACATTAGATATAATGTCCTTTCTCTACAGATAGGAAGTACTAGAGTTGCCAGAGAAAGTAAGGTATAGATATTAGATTACATTTCCCAGCCTTTTTGGACTTAGAATACTTTTCTCAATCTAATAAAAATAATGTGAATTTCTATAATATATGATAGTGATTTTTAAAGATTATTTATTTATTTATTTGTCAGAAAGAGAGAGAGATATCACAAGTAGGCAGAGAGGCAGGCAGAGAGAGAGCCACCCGGGTGCCCTGATAGTGATTTTTACATAAGAAGTGTTTTAGTGTAAAAATTTGGTTTTTGAATTTTTGTTCTACAGTCAGTTCATCTCATAGTAAGGAAACTTTGTAATGATTAGAACTATATAATGGCAAAAATTTCAGCCATTCTCTGCCATTGTGTAACCATTTTTCATGTTTGTTGAAAATACACTTACAGTTTATTCAGTTTCTTGAGTTCCGGTCTCGACAGCACATTGATTAATGATTGCGTGGACAAAGGTCATTCCCTAATTGTGAGTCTGGAAATCCCTTGTAAGAAAATTAGTGTCATAGTTTTTCAAAAGTTTTTAAGTTATAAAATTGTATTTGGCATTGTTTAGGAATACCATAATTTATAGATTAAAATGTATGTTTTATTCCCACTTAGGCCGAATACATCAAGCAATGGTAACGTCTTTAAATGAAGATAATGAAAGTGTAACTGTTGAATGGATAGAAAATGGAGATACAAAAGGCAAAGAGGTATGATCACTAAATTTTTTTTTTTTTAAGATTTCATTTTTAAGTAATCTCTACACCCAGCGTGGGGCTCAAACCTATAACCCTGAGATAAAGAGACGCATGCTGCACTGACTGATCCAGGCATGCCTGTCACTGAGCTAAATTTTATTTCTAGTCTTGCAGTCAAGGTTCCAAATACAAAATAAACTGTAAAGTGTATACTTTTTATATAGTGCATGTATTCTTTATCATTTCTAGAAAAACTTTCACATGATTAAAACATTTCAAAGAAAGGTAGATTCTTCCTGTACATTGTAAGTGATGGGACATATTATCAAGACCATAAAATGCAGTCTTAATAGCTGTCTTAATATGTGGGTTGTAATTGTAGATAATTTTGTTTTCAGTACTTTTCATGAGACAGATCATTTAACAGTCATTCTCTTTGTGTAAATTTGTAATATAAAAGGTTAATTGTCAAAATTTACTCTGAAGATACATGCATTTTTTAAAACAGATTGACCTTGAGAGCATCTTTTCACTTAACCCTGATCTTGTACCTGATGAAGAAATTGAACCCAGTCCAGAAACACCTCCACCTCCAACATCTTCAGCCAAAGTAAATAAAATTGTAAAGGTTAGTAAGGAAAATTTAGAGTAGAGGTGTATAGGGTGTATGTGCATGCATGTGTATGTATTTTCTGGTTTAAAATGAAAAGGCTTTTAAGAGTATATTTTAAATACTAGTTTGCTTTTTTTAAAAAATAAAACTAATTCTTTTTGCCATCTATATGTCATGTTTATGCATACATTCTTTGAAGGATTGAGGTTGTCCAGTTCACAGTTAACAATACTTATTAGGTAAAATCCTAGAAATTCTTTCCTGATTAGGATTTTTCCTAAGACTAATAGCTCCCCAGGAGATAGGGATGTCAAAACCATTTATCAATGTTTGTTAAGTGACTACATGTGATTTAGATAAAGAATGTTTATTATTCATAATAATTTCCCACTCCAGCAGTCTTTGGAAATAGTAATTCTGCTCTTTATGTTTATTAGAGAAAGATGGGAAATGATAGCGTACAGTTTAACTACTTCTGTGTTATCTGTGAAGATAAACTTTTAAGACCATGCTATATACCCTAACAGTTTTACCTTTATAAAAATAAAAGCCATGCCCTTTTTATTACTTTAAAAGATAATTCCTCTTCCTTCCTATTGAAATTTCTCACTATTAAAATTGTGTATTTACGTGCAGCTCTTTCAAAACCAGGTAATTGCTCACAGTTGTTGAATCTGTAGTTCTATGTATTTAGTTCAAGCATTTGTTAATTTTTCTACATTGTTGATTTTATCACACATAAAGATGAATGACATGACTTTAACCCTAGAGAAACTTGATATTTTACAGGGAAGACATACATCAGCATCCAGATAATGTATGATAGAAGCTTAACGATATCAGCAAAACATTCTACTTTTTAAATTATAAGGCAGATTTTCAATTCATGTAATTTAGCACATTGAGTGTCACTGCTTAGACATCATTAGTTATGACTTGTAGATGGATTGTTTTCCGTATTTGGCTTCACAGCCTTGAAGGATCTTTATAGATCATCTTTCTTTGTATGTCATTAACAACCTTTGCTGTGGGGCGCCTGGGGGGCTCAGTTGGTTGAGCATCTGCCTTCGGCTCAGGTCAGGATCCTGGAGTCCCGGGATCGAGTCCTGCATCGGGCTCCTTGCTTGGCGGGGAGTCTGCTTCTCCCTTTGACCCTCTCCCTTCTCATGCTCTCTTTCTCTCTCATTCTCTTTCTCTCTCAAATAAATAAAAAATCTTAAAAAAACAAAAGAGGGCGCTTGGGTGGCTCAGTGGGTTAAGCCTCTGCCTTCGGCTCAGGTCATGATCTCAGGGTCCTGTGATCGAGCTCCGCATCAGGCTCCCTGCTCAGTGAGGAGCCTGCTTCCCTTCCTCTCTCTCTCTGCCTGCCCCTCTGCCTACTTGTGATCTCTGTCTGTCAAATAAATAAATAAAATCTTAAAAAAAAAAAACAAAAAACAAAAGAACCTTTGCTGGGCATTAAAATCACTTAGAGAACTTTTCAAAATATTGATGCCTTGCCCACTCCTAGCAGTTCAGTTTTATTTTCTCTAAAGTGAGACCCTTGTATCAATATTCTTTTAATAGTACCCATTTGATTTAAATGTACAAATGTTCTCTCTCGCGTTGAGAGCCATTATTTGATACCTTTTTTCAGTTGAATAAAATGAAGTCTTGGTAAATAAAGGATAGGATCAAAAATTTACTGCCCTAGACTTTGCAGTTCGAAGTCTTTGAAAGTCTAATGAAGTCTTTCAGTAGAAATGACAACATAATCATGGTATTTTGATGTTTAAGTTTAATAGTAGACAGTAGGTTGTCTAAAGCCAGAATTTTATTGATTACTCTGACATCCAGAGATGAAATGTAATACCTACCTTTGAAATGTATTACGTGGTTTTAGCATGGTGGCTAAAACTATGCCCTTTACCGAAATAACTTCTCTTTGCTTCAGTTTTCTCATCTATGAAACCAGAATAATAATAATAGTAATGACCCGATAGGGTTGTTTTGAAGCTCGAATGACTTAATATGAGCAGTACCTGCCTTGTGCTAATTCTGGAATATTGCATTTTCTGTAGAGGTGGTGGGCAATACTCACATAAACAAACTTGAATACTAATGGCATTAGTAGTAATTATTAGAAGATTACTTAGAGTTTTTTTCTATCTAGTTTTATATTATGTTCACCTACTTTTGTTTAATTAAAGGAAGGCCAAGTTATAAATAGGAGTAAAGAGAGAAAGTAAAGTGAACGTTTTTATTTTTCTCTTACAGAATCGACGGACTGTGGCTTCTATTAAGAATGACCCTCCTCCAAGAGATAACAGAGGTAAACATTTATCTCTTGTCTATTAACTTTCTAGTATGGTCCCAACGAGGTAAATCAAAAGTGAATATTACCATTGACATTATTATTGATTTAAACTTTATATGGCTAATTTGAAGATTAGTATCTTCTTGATTTCCTAATGTAGTAATGTCAATATAAAGGGGTGCCTGGGCGGCTCGGTCAGTTAAGTTTCTGTATTCGGCCCAGGTCAAGATCCTGGGGTCCTGGGATTGAGCGCCACATTGGGCTCCTTGCTCAGTGGGGAGCCTACTTCCCTCTCTCTCTCCTGGCCCTCCCTTGGCTCACGCACTCTCTCTTTCTCTCTCTTTCTCAAATAATTAAAATCTTGAAAAAAAAGTGAGTAATACAAAAAATTATTTATAAAGGTAAGTGATGAATATGAAACTCTGTTACATGCAATATTTGATTACTCTCCTTTACCCAATAACTTTGTAGATTTGAGAAGAGTATCATGAGAAAGAAAGGAATGAGGCATTAGTCAGTTAATTGAGTTCACAAGAGTTATTAATCTAATCCCATTTTACCTGACTTTCTGGCTAACAGTTTTCCCAAAAGATTCACGACTTGGTAATCAGCTACAGAAAAATTGAACAGGTACAATTTATAGTTAATTGCATGTTTTCCCTGTATTTTCAGTAAGGAAATGTGAAGCACAGTTAATTTCTTTTTTACTCTTCGGCAATTGAGAATTGATGTTTCTGATGGTGATGTTTCTCTGTATGTAGGGGTGGGGGGACAGGACAGGTGCAGGTATTAGAAGAGAGATTGGAGGTGGAGGGAAAGTCCTGCACCTTAAACACTATCCTTCCTTTGAATCTTGTGAAACTATATATTGCTTTGTAAAATGTGGTGTTTATATTTTACTTTATATTTATCTTTTCACTTTTATAACATACATTGGGAAATATTTGCATGTTTGAGGAGCAAAGAGCGGGATTTGGAATTACAGGGTGGGTTGAAGGAGTGTTTTTTTACTTTATGTACTTGAGAATTGTATAAATTTTTCAAAATGACAGTGCATTTAAATTTAAAATTTCTGGGGCGCCTGGGTGGCTCAGTGGGTTAAGCCGCTGCCTTCGGCTCAGGCCCTGGTCTCAGGGTCCTGGGATCGAGCCCCGCATCGGGCTCTCTGCTCAGCAGGGAGCCTGCTTCCTCCTCTCTCTCTGCCTGCCTCTCTGACTGCTTGTGATCTCTCTCTGTCAAATAAATAAAATAAAAAAAAAAATCTTTAAAAAAAAATTTAAAATTTCTATTTTGTACACTTAAATGTATAAAAAAGGGGGCCTTTTAAGATTTATTTATTCATTTTAGAGAAAGGGAGAGCTCAAGTGGGCAGAGGCAGAGGAGGGGGAGAGAGAAAGAATCCTCGAGCAGACTCCCTGCTGAACACGGAGCTGGACTCAAGGCTCTATTCCAGGACCCTGATATCATGACCTGAGCCGGAATTAAGAGCCAGCCACGCAGCTGACTGAGCCACTCAGGCGCCCCTGCACACTTACGTTTTTTAAATGATTATTAAAATTCAGGCTTGGCTTTGCTTTTTTTTTTTTTTTTTTTTTTAAGATTTTATTTATTTATCTGACAAAGAGATCACAAGTCGGGGGGGTCGGGAAGCAGGCTCCCCGCTGAGCAGAGAGCCCAATGCGGGGCTCGATCCCAGGACCCTGAGATCATAACCTGAGCTGAAGGCAGAGGCTTAACCCACTGAGCCACCCAGGTGCCCCTTGGCTTTGCTTTTTTATATAAATTATTCAGATTGAGTTTTGTAGTTAAAATTACCTTGGTGAAGTCTAAGTCTCTGCATACATTACCTTGAAAACCTCTTGGCTTGTTAGTTGATTGAACAGAATTGATTATTACACATTCTCTTTATACCCACATAAGTAGAAAACTGACAACTCGTAAGTATCAGTTCTTTTGAGGTATCTCTGTTCCTTTACTAGAGTTCACCTTTACTGATTTTCTGATCTGAATTTAAAAAATTTCATTTCACTTGCAGTGGTTGGTTCTGCACGTGCACGGCCTAGTCAGCTTCCTGAGCAGTCTTCGTCTGCACAACAGAATGGTAGTGTTTCAGATATATCTCCAGTTCAAGCTGCAAAAAAGGAATTTGGACCCCCTTGTATGTAAATCATGTATCAAGGATTCAGTCATTCTAGGCATACATGTATTCTCTCTTGGTCATCCTTAGAAGTCCCCAAATGGTAAAGAGTCTAATTATAAGCTTGATTGCAGATTTCATTTCACCACCGTGGAAAAATATTTTTTCTTGTTAGTTTAGTCTGTTAATTGGGTTTTGAAATATATATTTTGAAGAATATTTATAAATACAAAATTATAACAACTTTCCACTTGCTTTGAATTTGAAATTCTGGTCAGATGACAGTTTGACAGATGTTATGGAAGAATTTTACGCTTCTTGATCCTTTCCAATTCATACATCTGTGATTGTAAACCAAGAGATGACATGTATCAATATGTTAAAGTCATTTTTCTTGACTGCTATCTGTATATTGTCCTGTTCCTGGTTTTGTTAAAGCAGCTCATAAGTTCACATAATTGTTAAAGGCATGCCTTGTCATGTGTACCATTTTTTGGGTGTATGTGGTGAAATTATACTTAACATTTTTGTGTGTAAGTACAGTGCTGTAAATAAGACGGTCTACTTCAGCAGCTCATCTTTTTCTTTCAGCACGTAGAAAATCTAATTGTGTGAAAGAAGTAGAAAAATTACAAGAAAAACGAGAAAAAAGGAGACTACAGCAGCAAGAACTTAGAGAAAAAAGAGCCCAGGTTTGTAACAGAAACACTGTTTATGCATGAACTGAAGATGTAGATGGTGTCAGTGAAAGTGATTTGAAAGTAGTTGAGGCATTCAGTTAAAGATTTCAATATAGTTCCTTTAGTTGAGATCTAAACTGATAATGAAAAATGATATGAACCTTTGAAAATACTGTAACAGACTTTTACTACATGTACTTTTCATGTTTTAGTGGATGTGTTAGTCCTAACATTTGTTCCATTTTGAATAATAATTCATTGTGTTACAATTCTAAGGCAGCCATTATACCTTTCAAGAATAGTAAGACTGACTTTGTAAAAAGATCTAAAATATATTCAGAAGAATATCTAGTTAAAGTAGTTGATTATAGGGGCGCCTGGGTGGCTCACTGGGTTGAAGCCTCTGCCTTCAGCTCGGGTCATGGTCTCAGGGTCCTGGGATCGAGCCCCGCGTCGGGCTCTCTGCTCAGCAGGGAGCCTGCTTCCCTCTCTCTCTCTCTGCCTGCCTCTCTGCCTACTTGTGATCTCTCTCTGCGTCAAATAAATAAATTTAAAAAAAAATCTTTAAAAAAAAAAAGTAGTTGATTATAAAGTAGACAATTACACTATAAATTTTATTATTGTTTTTCCATGGTTAGTAAATTCAGCATATCACAATGCAAGGGAAGATTCCTTCTGTTTGAGTTTATGCTAGATATTAAAAGTTGTGTCTCTGTGGTGCCTCTCATGTTCCCTTTAGATGGTAACAAAACTGTTTACTAACAATGAAAAAATTATATAGAAGACTGGTCTTCTTTCTCTTTATAGGTCTTCACCTATTAGAAATTATGTTTTTTTACATATAATTTGTAGTGTGTTTGTATTATATCTATTATATTCTTAGAACTTATTTCTCTATTAAAACATGAGGATTATTTCTTTATTTAGAAGTATATTCAAATGCCCTTAATCATAAAGACGTTGTGTTATGGAATTATGAAACCAGTATAAAATTCAACTTGAATAAATCAGGTTATATCTTAAAGTGATCTGAGATAGCCAGTTGGGTTTTGAAATAAGTAAAACACAATACAGATAGATCTACTGATACTTAGCACCAGTGCCACCTGGTGTTTCCTTTGGGAACCTCGTAATATTTTCATATCTCTTTGTTATCTCTTAATTTTAACTTTACATTCACTTTTTCCATTGACATAGTTGGTGTTATTTCCTAAAAGAAAGTTAATTGAAAGTAAGTTTCAGTAACAGTTTTGAAATTTATATTCAAAGCAAATCTGTATGTGGTGCAGGAAGAAAATCTGGCTTCTTAGAATGTTTAATAATTTATTACTCATGGCTAAGAGAGATGGTTAACTATTGTTACATGGGTCTTAATCTGAATTTTCTCAGTTTTGAAGCAGAAAAGTGAAATGCAGACAACATTCCAACATTCAGTAATTTGAATTTTAAAGATTTCAAAAATTATCGATAGTCTTTTGATTCCTTTAAGTCCTGTCCATTTGAGGTGGTTTTACTGTGCCTTAGGTTTTTAAATTTTTTGAGAGAATCAACCAGAACAGGAAATGAACATAAATGAATCTGTTTCTGTTTTGCTGGAACACTGGATTAAGCATGGCGAAGAAAAATCTGATTAAATGAATTTTTGTAGAATTTCAGTTTTTCTAGAGTTCTTTATTGATTTTTATGATGACCACTATTTTTCTCTTGCTTCATTTTTTAGGTTGATCAAGTTGTATGTGTAACATGTGAACTTTTGAAATAATTCAAGAGTGGCTTTATTTATTTATTTTTTAAAAAGATTTTATTTATTTATTTGACAGACAGAGATCACAAGTAGGCAGAGAGGCAGGCAGAGAGAGAGGGGGAAGCATGGTACCCGGGTGGCTCAGTGGGTTAAGCCTCTGCCTTTGGCTCAGGTTATGATCCCAGGGTCCTGGGATCGAGCCCCACATCAGGCTCTCTGCTCAGCGGGGAGTCTGCTTCTCCCCCTCTCTCTCTGCTCTCTCTCTACCTGTCTCTGCCTACTTGCGATGTCTGTCTGTCAAATAAATAAATAAAATCTTTAAAAAAAAAAAACAAATGCAACAGTATCCATTTTTGTAATGATAATAAATGATGAATTTTCTCTGTCTCCCTATAGGATGTTGATGCTACAAACCCAAATTATGAAATTATGTGTATGATCAGAGACTTTAGAGGAAGTTTGGATTATAGACCGTTAACAACAGCAGATCCTGTAAGATTCTTTGTAAACTATTGTTCTGGAATTTTTTTATGCTATTAAAAAAAAATGTGCAGTGCCCACTTAATACTGGATTTAGCTGTGTAGTTTCTTTCTTTATGGGTGTATATTCCTCATGTTTTAAGGTGAATATCAAGAAATCATTCACAGTTATGCTTATCTCCCATAATTTGATTAATCAGACATGCTTCCCACGGAGATGTTCTTTTCAAAGCAAAGACTCTGTCCTTGGTAGAGCAGAACAACAGTTTAAGGAATGATGTCAGAAGACCCATTCTTCTTTCTGACCATCATTGAAAATTTTATCCCAATTCCAAGCCTATTTCCTCTTTGATTTGGCCTATAGATGCCACTGTCATACAAATTTACTATTAGTTAATTTGATATTTTAAAATAAATGTTAGTCTAGGGGCGTCTGGGTGGCTCAGTGGGTTAAGCCGCTGCCTTCGGCTCGGGTCATGATCTCAGGGTCCTGGGATCGAGTCCCGCATCGGGCTCTCTGCTCGGCAGAGAGCCTGCTTCTCTCTCTCTCTCTCTCTCTGCCTGCTTCTCTGCCTACTTGTGATCTCTCTCTGTCAAATAAATAAATAAAATCTTTAAAAAAATAAATAAATAAATGTTAGTCTAGCTTTTAGTGGTTGTTGAGGACCATACTAGACCAGAAATCTAGTGCTTGAAAAGTATTCTGCTTTCCTATTACTCAGCTACTTTCCTCTTGAAGAATGAGAATTTTTTGGACAGGGAATAGTTTGTGAGTAATTGATACTTAAGAAAAATAATATCTGACCTCGCATGTACAGAATACCCTGGGTACATAAAATACATTTGTGTCAAGCCGAAGTATTGTTTAGGATTTCAGAGAGTTGTTGTTAATAACACTTTTGTATATATTTTAGTCCTTGCTTACCCCTACCTGTGTTTAATCTACTACATCTGAATTCATACTTTAGGACAGTAATTGGCAAACTTTTTCTTAAAAGGCCCTGATAGTAAATATTTTTGGCTTTGTGAGCCATATGGTCTTCATCACAACTACTCAGTTTTGCTTTTGTACTATGAAAGCAGCCATAGATGGTATGTGAACAAATGAGTACAGCTGTCTCGGTAAAACTTCATAAAAGCGGTAGTGGGCTGGATTAGGTCTGCAGACCATACTTTGCCAATCCGTGTGTTATATATTTATTATTAAAAGGGAGGTATTGAGAGAATAAATTTTATGAAAAATATTTATGTGTAAGAATTGGCTATTATAAAATTGTTGGGAGTTATTTTGCTCACTAATAATCTGAGAATCGCATTTCTTGCTATTAGTTATCTTTGTCAATACCTTTCCCTTTAATCAACCTCACAGTACACCACTTGGTAGGAAATTTCGCTTATGTTATGTGCAGTATATATGGAAGTAAGGCAGCTTCTTAGTGTGAACCTTATGCTGCTAGTAGGAACAGTGGTGCCCTCTACAAAGTTATTTCCTAATTATTTACCAAATAATAAAATGAGTAATTTTCAGTTATGCTCAGAATTTTAGAAATCATTGTCTTTGGACTATTAAAATTCATACATACTAATTTGATTTTTAAGCTTATTTATCTTATTTATGATATGCATAAATTTCTAAAATCTCTGTAGGAAATATTGCATAACTGGCTTTTCAGTTTTCATATAACACGATAAATATTGAAATAAAATACTTTATTTCTAGATTGATGAACATAGAATATGCGTTTGTGTAAGAAAACGACCACTCAATAAAAAAGGTATGATGCTTTTTGAACTCTTAATAAGAGGTTGATTTTGTCCAGTTGGTATTTATTTTAATGATAGCAGAAATTAAATTGGTTTAGAAAAGTTAAATATAAATCATTTTATTTGTTACATAATCATGCAGATTTCTTTGTTAGATCTGCTTTGTTACTGCTCTATGAATCATTGCTATTTCTGGTTCTTGCTTTACAGAAATTTTGATAATTTTTTTACTTGGTTCAAATATGTCTTCTTGAATGGCATATTTATGAGATACTTATATTTATAGAAATTAATACTTCTATTAAAATTTTTATCACTTTTTAAAAATTATTTATTACATCCAAATGCTATGAAAATTACTGGGCATTGATTTTCATTTATTCTTTTAGAAACTCAAATGAAAGATCTTGATGTAATCACAATCCCTAGTAAAGATGTTGTGATGGTACATGAACCAAAACAAAAAGTAGATTTAACAAGGTACCTAGAAAACCAAACATTTCGTTTTGATTATGCCTTTGATGACTCAGCTCCTAATGAAATGGTTTACAGGTAGGTAAATTTGTTTTAAATAACAATTTTGTTCTTATACTGTGTATTTATCACTACCCTGAACCTTGTGTTGATCTTGGCATATCTCTCCAAAAGTACAATATGCTCTTTTATTCTGAGTTTAAACAAAAGTTATGTCATAAACACAATAATCAGTATTACTACTTGTTCCCTTTAATTCTACCCCCAAATCATAGTTTTTATTACTAATATGTATCTCATGCACTGTATATTATATATCCCATACATTAGATATATATTTATATATGGATAGGAAATTTCTGGAAAATGTAGGCGTTTTCTGTAGTTCTAGCAATGTGATATATGATTAGAGGGGACTTTTACTTTTTGCTTTTTAGTCTCTGTATTAGTAAAGAAATTTGGAATATTTGCATACATCGTTTGTAAACATTGCCTTCTAATTATAACAGGTCAGTTTTAACAGCAGTGCTATTTCAACCTATATAGAACTGTCTTGGCAATTACTTGAATGCTTTTTCATTGACTTTTCGTTTTATAAATATGGCTGGAAAACAGAAAATTAAATGGTTAATAAGAGTCCTGAGAATTGAAGTCTTATTAATGAGATATTTTTTAGATCAACTCCATTGGGCTTAAGCCAGTAAACTGGGAGTTCAGTTGTAAAAAAAGAGGAGAAAATTAAAGAATATGTGAATGCTAAATGGTATTATGAAGAATTTGTTTTAAAAGGAAACTATTAATATAAATTGTGTATTTTTACTGGAGAAGAGAGTCCTCTTCCCCTGCCGCTTCCTTTTCTTCTTCCACTCCTGCTTCATAAAATATGTCTGTTTGACTTTATAATTATAAGGTATGTTTCTCTGAATATGCTAGATTTAGTAAACATTCAGTTTTACCTTATATATATGCTTCTTAATTTTACCAGTATTGATGCTATCCTCTTTATTTACCTTTGAGGGAATGCGAGTTAGGCCTTTTTTTGTCTAATCACTCTGTAGACTCATTCACTACAATTTTTTTTTTTAAGATTTTATTTATTTATTTGAGAGAGAGAGTGAAAAAGAGCATGAGAGGGGAGAAGGTCAGAGGGAGAAGCAGACTCCCTGTGGAGCTGGGAGCCCGATGTGGGACTCGATCCTGGGACTCTGGGATCATGACCTGAGCCGAAGGCAGTTGCCCAACCAACTGAGCCACCCACGCACCCTCATTTACTACTTCTATTTGACCACTGTTTCCTGCTCCTTCTGTTCTGTGCCTTTTTCAGTTGTTCCTTAAAAAAAAAATTCAGCAGAACTGTATAAAGTGTTCCACATACATTATTTTTTTTTAAAGATTTTTTATTTTTATTTGGCACAGAGAGAGCGCACAAGTAGGCAGGCAGAGAGAGAGGGGGAAGCAGGCTCCTCACGTAGCAGAGAGCCCGATGTGGGGCTCGATCCCAGGACCCCGAGATCATGACGTGAGCAGAAGGCAGAGGCTTAACCCACTGAGCCACCCAGGTGCCCCACATACATTATTTTGAAGCCAATTGAAAAAAGATTTGTTTCCCATTACATTTTCTAGAGCTCTGCTCAATGAAGTATTTCTATAATTTTAACTCTAGCTGTGATTACAGTAACAGGTTTGCAAAGTAATTCAAAACCATATTTTTGCATCCTTCTCCTGAACTGAGACTATCTATCAACTACAGTGTCTTATATGTATAATTTATATTTACTTAGCTACATTCAAGGAAACCCTGTCACTTTTCTACTTGGGTAGATGGCCTTAAGATAATGTTTTTATAGTTTTGTTTTTTTTCTCTCTTGAGATTATCACTCTTTTGTTTTGATTTCTGTTAAAACTTTTAATCCTGGTAGTGTGGGTTTTTGTATGTTTGGTTGGTTTTGTTGGTTTTCACTGTAGAAACCTTACTTGTCTTGCCTAGTATTACATTTTTTTGTTGTTATTTTTAAAACCTTAATATTGTCTTTTACATACACATGTCTTAGCTCAGTTACTGTCTTTTTCTTTCTCTCTTTTTTTAGGGGGGGCCCATTGTGACCATCGTTTATTATGGAATTACTTGATATTATGCTTTAAAGAGCTGTAAGCAATTTTAGGATAAGGTTATTTAAAAACTGTAACAAATCAGTGGGCTCAACTGTAGTCTGACAGTTGAGCCCACTGATTTGTTAAAAATATTGGTATGGGAGCGCCTGGGTGGCTCAGTTGGTTAAGCAGCTGCCTTCGGCTCAGTTCATGATCCCAGGTTCCTGGGATTGAGCCCCGAATGGGGCTCCCTGCTTGGCGGAGAGCCTGCTTCTCCCTCTCCCTCTGCCTGCTACTCTGCCTACTTGTACTCTCTGTTTCTGTGTCAAATAAATAAAACCTTAAAAAAAAATTGGTATGGGGCGCCTGGGTGGCTCAGTGGGTTTAAGCCGCTGCCTTCGGCTCAGGTCATGATCTCGGGGTCCTGGGATTGAGTCCCGCATCGGGCTCTCTGCTCAGCAGGGAGCCTGCTTCCCTCTCTCTCTGCCTGCCTCTCTGTCTACTTGTGATCTCTCTCTGCCCAATAAATAAATAAAATATTAAAAAAAAATTGGTATGACTTTTGTTTATTAATAAGACTTAGTATTTTATTTACTTAATTTAAATATTGATGGCACATTCTGACTAGTGCATTTTATTTTTAAGGTTTACAGCTAGACCACTAGTGGAAACTATATTTGAAAGGGGAATGGCTACATGCTTTGCTTATGGGCAGACTGGAAGTGGAAAAACTCATGTGAGTAATTCATTAATTACATCGTCCTATGCAGCTTGTTTATTTTCCTTATGGCTTAATTCTAAAACCTAAATTCTTAAGATTTATTCCTGAATAATGTCTATTATTATTTGTTTTTTAACATGTAGACTATGGGAGGTGACTTTTCAGGAAAGAATCAAGATTGTTCTAAAGGAATTTATGCATTAGCAGGTAACTGTCTTTTTTGCATATCATTTGTAATGTTTTTGAATATTGCTCAGGTGGCTTTGAAATAAAACTTGGAAATATCGTTCAAGACTTTCAGGATAACCATAAAGTTAAACAACAGTTTTAGGTTGTCAGACTGCTTGAAAAGAATTGTGAGAATTAGCTTTTGGAACAGGAATCTTGATTTTATTTTTATTATTTTAATTTGACATATTATTGGAGCTTAGTATTTGTTGAAACTTATAAGTATTTGTTGTCGAATAGGTAATGTATGAAAAACTTCTGTCTGGTATGGTTATGGGAATAATCTTGCTATGACCACCTATAATTTTATGTTATTTATATGATTAAATAGCATTCTCTTATTGAATATGAGAGTGACATCTATATTTAAGTATAAAAAAACTATTACTATTTTTTTGTAAAATTAGTGTTCACTTTAGTCTTCATTTTTTTTTTATCGATACTGTCATTCTAGGTAAAGATTAATTGATTCCTCTAAATAGAGAAAATTTGAATTGCTTTTTAAAGATAGTATTTGTAGGGTGCCTGGGTGGCTCAGTCAGTGAAGCATCTGCTCACGTTGTGATCCCAGGGTGCTGGGATTGAGCCCTGTATCAGGCTCTCTGCTCAGCAGGGAGTTTGTTCTTCCACCCCTTCTGCCCCTGTTGTCCCCTGCTCATGTTCTCTCTCTTGCTCCCTCTCTCTCTCTCAAATAAAATGAATAAAATCTTTAAAAAAAAAAAAAAAAGATAGTATTTGTAACATCTTAACACATTTTCTCCACATGGAATTCTTGACAGCTCGGGATGTCTTTTTAATGTTAAAGAAGCCAAACTATAAGAAGTTAGAACTTCAAGTGTATGCAACCTTTTTTGAAATTTATAGTGGAAAGGTAAGTGGAAACTTAAAAAAACAAACAAACTGATTTTGTTTGGGAGGATGTTAAATTGTGGTTTAATATATTTATAACATGAAATTTAACACTTTACCCATTTTTTTTGTGTACATGTTCACTGGCATTAACTACATGTTGTACAACCATTTCCACCACATATTTTTATATGTGTTAGACTATTATGTGAGCATTTTGTTGAGATTTTAGGAAATTCCCTTTGAAAGTCTCAACTTCTATATTGAGCATTATTATTCAAGTTATTCTAATTTTCTGAAATAATTTTTGGACTCTGATTCATTTTTATAGAACGGAGTCTTTTTCTTTAAAGCTAGTTTTCCAATTCTTTTTTTTTTTAAATAGGTGTTTGACTTGCTAAACAGGAAAACAAAATTAAGAGTACTAGAAGATGGAAAACAACAGGTTCAAGTGGTGGGATTACAGGAACGGGAGGTCAAATGTGTTGAAGATGTACTGAAACTCATTGACATAGGCAACAGTTGCAGGTAAATTTCATTTTAAGTAAGAGAAACTTAATTTCTTAATCAGTTTTAGATAATTTGGGTATTTAAACAAAACGGAGGTATTAATGCATTTTCGTAGTGAAAATTTGTTCATAAAAACTTCTACCGTTATATGTTACTGAGTGATATCTACTATATTGATAATCATACTACAAATAAACTCAAAGTGTGCCAGATTAAAGTGTATGAATCTGGTATGTTGAAGTGATTTAAGTCAGATTGTCTCTTTTGTACTTAAATGATGAAAACTGGATAGTTTTTTGAAGGTTTCTTTGATGGAATACCATGGTTTACAATATAAAAAACTGATGTATTTTTGGTATCTAAAATAACCTTAATCATATTGTTGTAGAACATCCGGTCAAACATCTGCAAATGCACATTCATCTCGGAGCCATGCAGTGTTTCAGATTATTCTTAGAAGGAAAGGAAAACTACATGGCAAATTTTCTCTCATTGATTTGGCTGGAAATGAACGAGGAGCTGATACTTCCAGTGCAGACAGGCAAACCAGGCTTGAAGGTGCTGAAATTAATAAAAGCCTTTTAGCACTCAAGGTAAATAACATGTATTTAATTGTGAAAGATCTTTTGCTTTTGACATTAATTTTGTTTAGAGTAGCTACAAATCATAGCAAATGTAGCATTTAGTAAGGAAGAGAGGTTTGTTTATGTTTACAGTTATTGATTTATAATATACCCAGGATTCTTTACACATACTCATTTTTTTTTAGAGTGAAAAAGATCTAAGATTCTACAGGGCTTTAACTAGTTACAATTATTGTAGGGGAAGATAAGGAATCCCAAAACTCAGCTAAGAAATACTGTCTCAGAAAAATGTGGAATGGCTTTCAGAAAGTTAGGAGGACAATATTCTGTCCCTTCCTTGAATAGAAAAAGAAGGATCGGGGTGCCTGGGTGACTCATTTGGTTAAGCATCTGCCTTCAGCTCAGGTCATGATCCCAGGGTCCTGGGATCAAGCCCTGCATCTGGCTCCCTGCTCAGTGGGAAACCTACTTCTCCCTCTCATTCTCCCCACTGCTTGTGTTCCCTCTCTCTTTCTGTTAAATAAACAAATGAATAAATAAAATCTTTTGGGGGAAAAAAATCTTTTAAAAAATGTTAAAAAAAAAAAAAAGGGAGGGGCACCTGGGTGGCTCAGTGGGTTAAAGCCACTGCCTTCGGCTCAGGTCATGATCCCAGGGTCCTGGGATCGAGCCCCACATCGGGCTCTCTGCTCAGCAGGGAGCCTGCTTCCTCCTCTCTCTCTCTGCCTGCCTCTCTGCCTATTTGTGATCTCTGTCTGTCAAATAAATAAATAAAATCTTTAAAAAAAAAGGGGGGGAAGGAAGGAGTGGCAAGGTTATAAGAAAACATTGTGTTTTTTCTTTTGTCATGCCAATTTCAAAGTTTAGCTTTTTATCCTTCTATCTGTTACTTCTAAATTCTAGTTAGAGTCTCTAGAAGAATCTTTTATAAGTACTTTGTTGTTGTTGTTACTGTTTTTAATTTCATTTTCTTGAATTAGCTTTATGTAACCATCTTTACTATGCCCTAAACCTGTTAGTAGGATTTCCAGAGCGGATCAGATCTTAAATGTTAGGGTTATAATAAAAGGTCTTTTAAATATGTTAGATAAGATTACTTGTTATAAGGAGCCTAATCTGTGAAACTTGCTTTCTTAATTTTCAGGAGTGCATCAGAGCCTTAGGTAGAAATAAACCTCATACTCCTTTCAGAGCAAGTAAGCTCACTCAGGTGTTAAGAGATTCATTCATAGGTGAAAATTCTCGTACCTGCATGGTAAGTTTATGTTTGTTTGTTTGTTTGTTTGTTTTGTTTTAACCCTGAATAGTGAATAACTCACAATATCTTTGGAAAGATTATAATGCACATTAATAACAGTCATTTAAATCCTTCTATTGTGAGAGATACAATGGTACTTAAGATGTGGTCCCTTCCAGTCTGATAAGAGAGGATTATATTGTACTTATAATGCATTCTACTATTTCCAACATCTGAGTCTTCTTGAGGTTGGTCTTCATTGATTTTTATTCTCCTTGAGTATGGTTCATGCTTTTCTTTTTCTTCGTATGTCTAGTAAAATTGGTTTATATAATTTTTTTTTGTTTATATAATTTTTATTATGAATAAATACTTAGACACTCTGAATTCTCTTATGTTCTAAAGTTTATTGATTGTTGTTGTTTTAGCAAGAAGTGCACTTAACTTATTTCAAACTCTTGTCTTCCCTGTTTTGGGCAGCAGATAAAATTGAAAACTGTTCTTTTAGACTCAGCTGTTACTTGGAGTAAGCCTTATGTATGCCTGGTTCAGGAGTCAGCCAGAGATTTGGGCGGTTTATATGTACAATTTTTGGTTGTCACGATTACCTCCTTATATGATTATCTCTCTTCTGGGACAAACTTCACTTTCTAGCTGCTTTAGTTGCTACCTTCAAATTCTGTCCTTTAGTATAACCAGTGAAATTCCCGTTTTCTAGTAAAGTTTCAGTTGTCCTGTGTGACAGCAGTGGGGCTTGCCCTTAAACAAAAAAAGTGTTGTATTGGGTGGGGAGGGGGTAGTGGAAACTCTCAGTGCTCTTCCCTCCTGGGTGTTGACCTCCATTTTCTGTCCAATTTAAATCATTTTCTGGTGCTTTCATATATTTTATGTGGTTTACAATTATTATCTGATTGTGGGTGTAATATTGCAAATTATCTTGGAGTTTAGATACCACAAATGTTTATTTTAAATAACCATTTTAAGATTAGATCTTAATGGACAATATGTTGATAAGACTGTCTTCATCATTTATAACATTTTTTTTACCTTTGCATCTTCTCCTTCAGATTGCCACAATCTCTCCAGGAATGGCATCCTGTGAAAATACTCTTAATACATTAAGATATGCAAATAGGTATGCAAAATAGTTACTCAGTTTGAAATTTGAGGGGAGTAGAGCAGTAGTTACTTTGACTTAATATCTGATAGGGTAACTTTTATTATTTTTTTCTAATTTAAAAAAAATGTTTTGCATGTTATTAAGATGATATGTAGAGTCATTTGGTCAAGTTCTGAAAATAAATGGAAATGTGTTGCGTAATTTGGAAAGAGATTTAGATCTTTAGTAGAATTGGTCTTTCTATCCTAGAACGTGATTACATTTTTCTGTTTCACCAAGTTATATTTCATATTTTTTTACTACATTTAAATCATGTAAATTTTTCTTAATAGGAAAGTCTAAATGAGTATAAGGGGACCAATCTGTATTTCTTAAATTGTTTTATCTATATGCTAAAAATTATTTCTGATAATACTAAATGCCATATGTGGGAAATCTAGGGTTTGAATAAGTAATGATAGCACGTTTTTTTTCTGGTGTTCTTTATGAGTTACATTTTACTACTCATTGTCGCTAGTGTTAGATAATTTAATGGACAGTGATGTTATTACAAATAAAGGACAAAAAATATTATAGACTTAAAATAATTTATTCCTTAGAGTCATGAAGTGCCTTTGGAACTTCAGATTCTGATAGACAGATTTATATTTATTCAAAAAATCATTCCTGTTACTCGTTTTGAAAAAATGACTTTGTAGTTTTAAATATCTCTTATCACATACTGCATTTGTGATTCTCATTGTTAGCTATCAAAGTCCTCTTTGTATTCCATTTCTACTGTGGACAGTCCCTTAATTTTACTGAATACAGTATTTGTCCTGTTTAATTGCTATGGAAATTTTATTTTTAATCTTTTTTTTAAAAACAGGGAATACATATGTATAGAGAAGTACTGAAAACATTAAGTGAATAATCTAATAAATATTTATACAGTATAAATTCTGTCATCAGATTGGGAAATAGAACATTTCTGCCTCTCTAGAAAGCTCCCCATATGTCCCCTCCTGATGACAAATCCTGAATAACCTGTCCAAATCCATTAATCTCTACCCCAAGGTAGATGTTGTCTTGACTTCTGTGGCATAATTTTCTTGGTTTTCTTTTTCTCTCTTTTTAAAAACAGTTTTTCCACCTATGAATGTATCTCTGAACAACATAGGTAGCTGTATTTGAACTTTCCATAAATGGGGTCATACTCTTTTTCTGTTGTGACTTGATTTTGTTTCAACTGAAGAGATTTTTTTAATGATAGTAAAAACTGTTGGAATGTATAAGCTTTTGACATTTTGCAAAAAGACATTAAAATAACTTCTTTATAAATATAATGGAACTTTATTTCTAAATTTAATCCTTTTTAAACTTAGAATTTTGGGCTCTGAGCTGCAAACATTTATGGTACTTTTAATTCATTTTTATAATGAACATTTTTGGTATGTGGAGTTTTTATCATTAAAGTGCTTCTCTTACTTCCAGTTGTTCATGGGAGAGAGGAGCAACAGCTTAGTATAGCAGAATATTGCCATGTTACAGAATTAAAACAAAACCCCTCCATGTCTTCAGACTTCTAACTGCAAAAGAATCTACCTAATGCGAACATACTCTATCTGGCTATTCCTCTAGTTCATTTAGGTCCAAGTAAATGTTTTAATTTATTATCATGTAATGTAATTTATCTGCAATGTGATTAACCATCTGGGACAAATAATTCTGTCTTTTCTTTGCAAACCTCTGGAAATAAAGATTTCCAACCTCCCCTGATAGCTCATTTGAGGAATATAATTCCTGCATATAGTATTTAGTGTTTGAGTTAGACAGAAGCCCTTGGAATAGAGGAAAATATTAGCCTATTAGGGACGGATAGGTTATCTAAATTAGAAGATTCTGGTAGAATCCTAAATGGAGTTGGGAATAAAAAGAATCACGTCATTGTTAGAAATTTAGATTTTGTCAGTCTGTATGGTATATAAGCTTTCCAAAGTGACTATAAAGGATGAAGGGCAGCTGAATCCAGTATTGAACCTGTGATAGCAGACATTACCAATAGGTCAAAGAAGGATTGTAAGTAGAAGAAATAAATTAGTCTGATCTAAGTGATTATTAGTTTGATCTGTATGACTATCTGTGACCCAACAAAAGAGTAATTTCATTCTTATTAAATCTAAAAGAAGTAATGAGAAAAACATGCTCAGTATATTGGATGTTTAATAACATAGTGTTTGTACTCATAGCTAAGTTTGAACCTCACTTATTCTCATTGAATGAACTTGGGTAAGATACTTTATTTCTCTGAACCGATTTCTCATCTGTAAAGTGGTAAAAATAATATCACAGGATTGTTTTAAGATTTATATAATATAATGCCTAAAATATATAATCACAATACCTAACATGTAGGAAATACATAATAAATACTGCTTACTGTTTTGAAATGGGATGGCTCCAAAAGGAACATAGGGAATCACAAAGAGGTGTAAGAAAAGCCATAATTTGGTTATATATAAATATCGGAGATATTACCAAAAGCAATTTAAATTCCATTGCTAAAGAGGCTTTCCTTAACCAGGGTTCTTCATCTGAACCAAACACAGAAAACTATTTGAGGAACTGCTTTCTCATTTTGTACCAAGGATGGAACCATTCTAGACACATAGGAGAGAAGTTAATTCATTACAAACAGTGGATGCCGTAAGGACTTAATACTCTTGTGTTCTCTTTTAAGTCTGCAAGAATATTGAGGGGTCATTGATGCTAATAAAATATTTGCAGTATTGACTGTACAAGGAAATTTAATTAATAGTCATGTAGTTAAAGAAGGGGCATTTAAAATTTAGGTGATGGTCTGGTTAAACTTTTAGGAGGGGTCATGAGGAAAGGGGAAAGTATACCAGAAAGTAAGGACTATGGACAAAGGTATCAATAGAACAGAAAAATTCAGAAACTTCTTAAAATTATTTTTAAAGTACTCTATATACAGTAAGTCACAACAATGTTGATATCTTTTTTTTTAAAACAAATTAAGCTGAATACAAAATAAAAACTTGAAATGTGCATTGCTGTCTTTACAAGAGCATTTTCTCTTAATTTGTTGCTGTTTTGGTGCTGCAGAGTAAAGGAGTTTGGAATTAGTCCATCAGACATTCCCTTCTCACAGGGTAGTGGCAGTCGCCCTGATCTCTCTCCTTCTTATGAGTATGACGACTTTTCTCCTTCGATTACCAGGTCTACTTCCTTCTATGCATAAGATGTTTATTTTCATAGTTTCTTTTGAATTGTGTTACATATGAATATTTCATTTATACTTTAGTTCTGAGCCATTTTATTTTTCATTTTCATTTCATTTGGCAGGTGATGATTGTACTGCATGATCTTCATTTTTGTGTACTTTACTAATTTATTTGCTTTAAAATGTTGATTTAGAATTCAGGCTTCCTGTTGCCCCTCATAATTTTAAGGATGATGTCATCTTTGCATATTTATGGTTGAAAGGTAAACTGTCTTGTTTAAAATGAGAAGTTTACCGTTACTCTGTATGTTCTTATAAATTTCCTTGTCTGCGAGGAAATGACAAAGATCGTTTGATTTAGAACATGTACCCTCCCACTGTGTAAACTGAAGTATAATAGGTAAACATTTTTTAATTGATAGAACTTTATAACATAATCTTTATATGTTAGAATTATGATTATTTCACATGTGGCTATTTTAATAGAGCATTATAACAACTAAAAATCTACAAAGTATATTAAGTTCTCTGATTTTGGCAATAATCTCTTTATTGGTCTAAGTGCTGTTGTTAGCATTTTTCTGTTTATATAATTTAATTGCAAAAACAGTTTGTTTTTACTTTGAAATACTGAATCTGCATACTTTGCTAATTGTCATTATGCACAATAATTATCTCTGAAATAATTGTAAAGTTACCTCACTAAATTCTGAAAGTTCATCAGCCGAATATCCCTTTAGTCTTTACACAGATTTCAGATAAACTTGATCTGGAAAGCTGACATCATCAGTCTTAATATGTTAATTGAATAGGATGGTAGTTTCTTGATCCTCTGCATGTGTCTTTGTTAATTTTAGGTACCTCTTATGTATTAATAGGGTGAAAGAATTGACTGTGGATCCAACAACTGCTGCTGGTGATGTCCGTCCAATAATGCACCACCCACCAAATCAAATTGATGACTTAGAGGCACAGTGGGGTGTGGGGAGTTCCCCTCAGAGAGATGATCTGAAACTTCTTTGTGAACAGAACGTGAGTGACAATATAGTTCTAATGACCTGATTTTAGTTCATTTCATCAGTAGCAGAACTTAATGATTGTAAACCACCATCTGCATCAGGGGTCAGCCGACTACAGTCTATGGGCCAGCCATATGTTTTTATGCATAAAGTTTTACTGAATTATGGCTATGCTTCATTTACAACATGTGTGGCTGCTTTCTTGGACAAAAGCAATGACAAAAACTGTATGGCTCACAAGCCCAAAATAGATACTATCTGCCCTTTTAAAATGTTTGCTGACCCTGATCTAAACTTTTTTTTTTTTTTTACCCCCCCTCAGATTTTCTATCAGTTTTAAACTTTGGTGGTATTGAAAGTAATAAAGAGAAAAAACAACTTCAAGAATTACGTATACAACATATCATACATATAGGTTAAAAACAATTAACTATGGACTCCTGCATATAAAAAGAATGCATGAACTCTATCAAAAATCAAACATGGCAAAATGCTAACATTTGTTAAGTATGGTTGTACTCTGTATGTTTGAAATGGCTAGTGACATTTCATAATTTAACAATTTGATTCCCAGTTACTCAAAAAATAAAAATAATGTACCTGTTGTATAAAGACAAAGAGGTATAAAGAGGTAACAAAAAAAGCACAAACAATACATGTTTTCATTTGATTACTTTAATATGTTGAAGGGATTCCTCTCTGTGAGATGTAAAAGATTTTATAATTAACTTCCTTTTTAAAAATATAACCTACATAGTTTTATATATTCTTTTAAGAATCTTACAGTAGTAGTTTCTCATGATAAAAGGTGGCATTTATTAGTTGCTTACTACATAACTTACATTAACTAAGCATTTTACTTATTATCTGATGTAATCCTCACAACTCTATGTAGTAGACACCATAATTATCTCTACTTTTTAACTGCTTTTCCAAAAAGTGAGGGAACTTGGGGTTCCTGGCTTAAAATAAGAGTTCTAAACTTTGAACCATGGAAAATAAAAAACTGAAAATGAGATCCTGGCCTGAAAATGAGATTCCTATCTCCTGTCTCCAAAAGTTAGGTATAGTTGCTTTTTGCATTCTTGAAACAACCATGTACTGTACCTAGGTATGGTGCCTCTTAAGGATTTGGAAAATGAAAACAAGGTGTGCCCTCTCTGTAGCAGATTTTTTCCATTTTATTTTTCTGTCTGCCTGGTTGGGTCTTTGTAGGACTTCAATTTGGAGAGGTTAGGTAGGATTGATCCAGAGGCTTGAAGTATAACATCATGAGTTCTTGGAGTTTTCTCCATATTTAAGAGTATGTGGCTTTCCTTGAAATTTTCTACCCCCTGGAACTATCTTGAGGTGGTTCAGCCTTAGCTTTTTAGTTGAGTTTACTGGTGCCTGTGTACCTTTTCTTACTGTTGTATTAAGGTCTTAACAAGGTAAATTAAAACGGGATAGGGTCTAAGACATGTCCTACAGATAAAACCAACATAAGTATACAAAGTAGAAGATAATAAAGAGCATTAGCATTCCAGAAGTAGTTGTATAGACAAAAAAAGTATTCTAAGTAGACTGCATGGAAGTGATAGGAACTTGCATAGTATCTTAATGCAAAAGAAAGAGGACATTCTGGGCTTGACAGGGAGGTGGGCAAATATAATGAATAAAATTGGTTGAGTGTGTTTATCGTATGATATATTGTATGCCTGCATGTCTTAATAAAAACATATTTGTTTCCCAAAGAGAAGATAAAAAGTTCTTTGACCAACTTGATTATATATATAAACTTTTACAGATGGTAGCATACTGATTGAAGTCAAATGTCTTCTTATACTATTTAACCAAAATTTGTACATACATTTAGAATTGTGTATCTATTTTGAAAAAGTCACTTTTTAAACTCACATTTTATAAAACAATTTTAAGTAAACCTCATCACTAAAGCCACATTTTGAGGAAATAAATCATTATAGACATTGGGGTTGGGAAAGAAGCTCAAAAAAGAAAGCAAGGCTAGAGAAATTTTCACTTGATGTAGGACTAAGAATATGTTGTATTTATGTCTGTGGGGTTTTTGTTGATGAGGTAAAGTCAGTTGTCGATTAAGATTTCTATAAAAACTGACAAACATACCGTATGGTGTAATGCAGAAATTAAGATTTAGTAAGAGTTGAGACCTTCAGAACACTTAATTTGATAATCACAGTCATAGAAGACATTATCTTGAAATCTCTTTTCTGGTGAAAAGATATTTAAGACATACAAATGGCTTAGATTGTAAAAATAAAACAATACTGAGGAAATATTTTAGTATATTTTAGCTTATAATAAATATATTTTTGAAAAGTTGCATTATTCCAAAAGAGATTGCTTTTTTAGGGTAATTCTACAGTAAAACCTGGGCTAAGTGAAAACTACCCCTTACTGAGAGGCTTAAATTTGGGCTGTCTTACTGACTGTTACATCGGATACTTATGACCCATAAAAAGAAGTTGTGGCTTTGCCTTTTATATTATATTTTAGTAGTCTTTATCTTGCAAACTTCTCATTTTTTTAAATGACATTTTTATAAATGATTTGGGAAAACTACTTTTATGTAGCATTTAAAATGTAAACTTTATGTCCTAATTTTTTAAACTATGTTCATCTTAAGGAAGAAGAAGTTTCTCCCCAATTGTTTACTTTCCATGAAGCTGTCTCACAAATGGTAGAAATGGAAGAACAAGTTGTAGAAGATCACAGGGCAGTGTTCCAGGTAAAATAAGATGGGACCTTTCATTAAATATTTCTGTAGGGAAATTAAGAACTTTCATAATACTTTGAATATTATCCTAATTTTAAAAATTTACTATTTTGTGTATGTATATGTGTATTTGTAGGGTGTAGAGTATATGTATGGGATATTTTGGACAGAAAATGAATGGTGGTTACAGTGTTTCTTTGGTGCCATGGTGAAAAGACCTAGCTTATTTACTACTCTTCTCCTGCTCTGTTTGTTTTAGTTTGTTGTCCATTTTTAGAAAAGGGTTGAACTTCTGCCCTCCACCACCTCTTTCTCCATGTTAGGACAGTTTATCTGACATAAGTAAGAAAAACTTCTAAGGGTTATCATAACAGTTGAGGAAGTATCTTTCCTTACAAAGGAGGAAAAGTGCTTTAGGAAAGGGAAGGTTACTACAGTGGCAGATGTGTGAGGATCGTTAAATCCCTGTCTGTCCCAGTAACTGCTGATGTATTCATCCCATTGTCCATTCAGCCTATTAAAAGTACGGTGTGATTTACTGTATGATTTCATTCTTCCCCCCACCTGCTCCCTTTTATAACAAGAAAATACCCTGGAGAATGATACTTAAGAGGAAGTGAAGCTAACATTTAGTTAGCATTATGGAGACTATAAATATGTTTTGGAAAAAAAAAAAGTGTTTTGAGAAAAAGGTGAACAATAGATCAGTCTTTCTGTTGACCTGTGTCCCTTCTCTGATGTTTGAGAAATATTTATTTATAAACAAATATTAACATGAGTCAGCTGTAGGCCATTTAAACACCTGGATAAAAGGCTCAAAAATGGGCGCGCCTGGGTGGCTCAGTAGATTAAAGCCTCTGCCTTCCGCTCAGGTCATGATCCTGGGGTCCTGGGATCGAGCCTCGCATCAGGCTCTGCTCAGTGGGGAGCCTGCTTCTCTCTCTCTCTCTCTCTCTCTCTCCCTCTCTCTCACGGCCTGCCTCTTTGGCTACTGTGATCTCTGTCAAGAAAATAAATAAAATCTTAAAAAAAAAAAAAAGGCTCAAAAATATAACAGAACTATTTATTTTATAACTTGAGAATAGGATGTACCCTCATCAAAACTATTACAGTTCTGGGACGCCTGGGTGGCTCAGTTGGTTAAGCATCTGCCTTTGGCTCAGGTCATAATCTCAGGGTTCTGGGATCTAGTCCTGAGGCAGGCTCCTTGCTCAGTGGGGGGCCTGCCACTCCCTTTAAAATCTTTTTAAAAAAGTCTTTGAAAAAAGGCAGAGGGGCTCCTGGGTGGCTCAGTTGGTTAGGCAACTGCCTTCAGCTTGATTCATGGTCCTGGGGTCCCAGGATCAAGTCCTGCATTGGGCTCCCTGCTCGGTGGGGACTCTGCTCCCTCTGACCCTCTCCCCTTGCATGCTTGTGCTCTCTCGCTCTCTCTCTCTCTCAAATAAGTAATATCTTAAAAAAAAATAAAAAAGAAAAACAGTTTTAGTCAAACCCTTATTTTGGTGATCTATTTAGAGGCCTAGGTGTTTAGATTAAATCAGGAAAGGACACTTGTAATTTAAGAAAATTGTCTCTGGGGACGCCTGGGTGGCTCAGTTGGTTAAGCAGCTGCCTTCGGCTCAGGTCATGATCCCAGCGTCCTGGGATCGAGTCCCACATCGGGCTCCTTGCTCGTCAGGGAGCCTGCTTCTCCCTCTGCCTCTGCCTGCCATTCTGTCTGCCTGTGCTTGCTCTCTCTCCCTCTCTCTCTCTGACAAATAATTAAATAAAATCTTTAAAAAAAAAAAAAATTGTCTCTGTGCTTTTGGAGCAAGGTGTCGTATAAAGACTATCATTTCCCACTCTGCCATTTTATGATGAAATCTAGAAGGTCTTTGTTTTTTGCAGAAGTGATTATTTTTCAGTTTCAATCCAGTATTCTTTTTACAATTCGGTTTATTGTTACTCTGTGCTGTGATCTGTCATTTCTCAAAATAGAGTGTTGTTTTAAAAGATTAAATGGATAACTAAAGAAAAAGAAAAATATGGGGATGTGTATATGTGTTTTAATTGATACACATAGAGAGATGGATATATATATAGGTATAGAAAACTATATATATATGTGTATATATATGTATATATACACATATATATATAGTTGTCTAATAGATATCTAAAGCTAAGTTGCTAAAATTCAGCCTGATAATATGTGTAGTCTAGTTATAATTAACTATTAAATTGTACTGAAAGCTAGAAAGTGCCCATTTACATATCCAAAGCCTCTTTAACTCACTATGGTAGGAACTTGCTCGTGATTTGTATGATTCATGACTTTGCTAGGAAATGAAACTTATAAATTCCACATTATCTAAAATCATTTAAGAATGATTAGTCTATGAATAGTAAGTAGCTACTATTTAGTGATTTGTTTGACTCTTCTAAAATTGACTGTCTGTTGATCTCTTATAGTTAGAATAATTTTGAAGACCTAGTGTTTGGAATTTAGGGTTAACTCTTGACCAACCACTATGAAGCCCCAAATGGGTTTGTACATTCTACATGGTTTGCAAGTTCTAGGCTACCATAGACCTCAATAAATTGTTCAGTAGTTTTATTATACCATTCTTCCCCAATTTTAGGGGTAGCTACTAAAGTTTTGAGAATTATTGTGCTCACTGATTGATACATGTTTGATTCACTCCCTTCCCCAAACCCTTACCCAGGGTAAAGTAAAAGTAGAAAAATGAAGTTACCTTGCTTGGCTTACCGTGTTTGTGTTTGTGTTAGAATTTAAGGAAGTATTTCTCAATTTTACTATGTAAATAAAGATGTTTTATACTTATTAATATTTTAGAGAATACCATCTGAGGTATGCTTGAATATATTTAACATATGTGAAATTTGTAAATTGGTTTCTGTCTTACAAAGAGGCTTATTGGATTGTTGAATTTTTGTCCTTTTAGGAATCTATCCGATGGTTAGAAGATGAAAAGGCTCTTCTAGAGATGACTGAAGAAGTAGACTATGATGTAGATTCATATGCTACTCAACTTGAAGCTATTCTTGAGCAAAAAATAGACATTTTAACTGAGCTGCGTGGTAATTTCTTTTTCATTTTAGTGCTTGAAATCTCCATCTTTGTATGTAAGTGGTGGTAGGATTTTCATATTGCAAGAGGATATCTAAAATAAAAATTATGGGTACCATTTAATACATTTCCAGAGGTATAAAGACAGACCAGTCATTCTGTTTTTTTATAAAAAAGAAACATGGAGTATTCTTTTCAAGTGCTTTTTAGTTATCCTTTCTCTCTTAGGCATTTGAAAAGATAAAAGCATCTTATGTTTAAAGAGGGAAAATGGATTTTAACAAATTTGTAAGTTTTATACACTCATTCAGATTTTTAGTTTGATAGGTCAGTGCTTGTCAATTATTTTGCTTAGGTTGGGTCTATTTAGGACCATCCCTTCTGTAGCCTCCTGTCTGCATCTCTTTTCTGTGCCTCTGTGTCATGTCTCTCCTTTGAAGCCTTAAAAAATCAAGGGGAAGGTTTCAAGACCTTGAACAACTCAAGACCTTTCAACAATTTCCTTCCTACTTTGCGAATGTATGTGACTTACCTACATGCCATCTGTTCTTGGCTTTTTAATTAGCTTGTCTGTGTAGCTTCACATACACGTTTATCCTATGTACTTGTTTCTGTGGCGTTGGCAAATTAGTTTTCTCCACTTGTATGCGAATGGATATCTTTGTATGTGTACATGAAATGCAGTGTAAAACCAGAATCAAATTGCTGGTTCTTAACACCAGACTGGCTAATTTTTAACATAGGTTCTTTGTGAAGTTGGGTATTTGAAATCATATTCTATGAAGAGCCAGCAGTGACCATTTGCCCAATTCAGAATTGTTGGTGCAAATGTGAATTTCTAAAATTTACTTTCGTTTTTCATATTCTTCATATTCAAGCCTTGGTTAAAGTGTTTTGATCATTTTTCTTATCAGAACTCACAAAGAGCTTTTCTGTATGTATTTTATATAGGACAGATCATAATGAATTATAATTTTTTTCTTTGTAATATGTGGCATCCAACTTAGTTATATTAAGTGTATCCATAACTTTGAAGAAATTACTGTCTAGCTGTTGTATTTTTTTTAGGAAAAAAATTTTTTTTTACCATCCAGAGATAATTTTGGTATTAACATAAGAAGTTTGAGAGCTTTTATCTTATATTAACAGATATGAGATCCAGAGATCCTTAAATTCCTTTCTAAATTTCAGAAGTTAATTTTTTAAATATCATTGTTCTTCGAAAGAGGGGAAAGAAATTGAGATTCCAACTGATATTCTCTTTTTTCCCAAAGGCCATAACCTTTGCACCATTAATTTTAAGTTGGATAATTGTTGAGGGTACCATCCTGTGCATGGTACATTGCTTACCAGGATCCTTGGTCTCTGATGACTAGATGACGGTAGCCACTACCCCAGTTGTGACCGTCAAAAATGTCTAGTTATTATCAGATGTCAGGGGGGTAGTGGGGGAACATCACCCATGATTAAGAACCACTGGTATAAAAAGAGATGAGATATTTCTCACCTTCATTTTATTTGCCTCTTTGAATTTATTTACCTAGTAATATTCTTATGGGACTCTGAATTAATATATAATAGTAGGAATTGCAAGATCAAGAAATAGATTATTCTATAATCCCTCTTCTCTATCCCCTTTTACAATCCCTGATAAGGACAAAATGGCATTTGTTTTTAAAAATTCAAACATCTTTTGAAATTTCATAGCTTAAAAAGGTAAAATAGGCATTGGGAATAGAAATTTCTTAATATCGGGGGGGGAGAAAAAAATTTCTTAATATCGAGGGAAGAAATATCTACTTTATAATTTAATAAGATTTGGAGGCACCTGGCTGGCTTGGTTGGTAGAGCATGTGACTTTTTTTTTTTTTTTTTTAAGATTTTATTTACTTATTTGACAGATAGAGATCACAAGTAAGCAGAAAGGCAGGCAGAGAGAGGGGGGGAAGCAGGCTCCCTGCTGAGCAGAGAGCCCGATGTGGGGACCCTGGGATCATGACCTGAGCCGAAGGCAGAGGCTTTAACCCACTGAGCCACCCAGGCGCCCCGACTCTTGATCTCAGGGAATCAATGTTTTTTTTGACAGGACCGTACACATTTAACACACATAATATAGCCTGTCTGCACTCCAAAAGGAATTGAAATAAGCCAAAATTCAACACTGTAAAGTGTGCCAAACAGAACAGAAACCCGTTGAAGATAGAGAAGAAAGTTATATTTGGGCTCCTGGGTGGCTCAGTCGGTTAAGTGTCTGCCATCAGCTCAGGTCATGATCCCAGGGTCCTGGGATGAGTTCCACATCAGGCTTCCTGCCCAGCAGGGAGTCTTCTACTCCCTCTGCTTCTTGCTCCCTCAGCCATTCCCCCTACTTGTGCTCTCTCACTCATGAGCGCTCTCTCTCTAAAATAGATAAATAAAATCTTTTTTAAAAAAGGTTATTTTTGGGCGCCTGGGTGGCTCAGTGGGTTAAGCCGCTGCCTTTGGCTCAGGTCATGATCTCAGGGTCCTGGGATCGAGTCCCGCGTCGGGTTCTCTGCTCAGCAGGGAGCCTGCTTCCCTCTCTCTCTCTCTCTCTCTGCCTGCCTCTCTGCCTACTTGTGATCTCTCTCTCTCTGTCAAATAAATAAATAAAATCTTAAAAAAAAAAAAAAAGGTTATTTTCATGAATCTTTAAATAATGGAACTTTTGCTATAGTTGAGTATTATATTTAATTCTGAGTTTCGGACAACAGAGAACAAAAGGAAAAATCCTGCATTAATGTTATGAAGTAAGGCTGCCGACTTGATAGGACCCATGATGTTGTATACTGTATTGCATGCAACGCAGTACTTATTCTCTTGTTCTTTTCTTTTTTCCAAGATAAAGTGAAATCTTTTCGTGCAGCTCTACAAGAAGAAGAACAGGCCAGCAAGCAAATCAACCCGAAGAGACCCCGTGCCCTTTAAATCAGCATTTGCTGCTAAAGGACCCCCAGAACCCACACTGCTGTAACATACAATGGTTCAGCTGTAAGGGCCATTTGAAAGTTTGAAATTTTAAGTGTCTGTGGAAAATGTCTTGTCCCTTCACCTGAATGACATTTCAATTTTGTGAAACACTCCTTTGTCTACAAAATGCTTCTAGTCCAGGAGGCACAACCAACATTTGGGAATAGTGAAGCATTTTGTTTCATTTACCCAAACAGTGATTTACTTTTGGAGATCCTTGCCAATTTTATTTTCTGTATGAAGTAAGGTTGTGGACTTGATACAGAGGTGAATAGTAGGGGGAAGCCACAGCATTTCCTTTTAACTTGGTTCAATTTTCGTAGCAAGACTGAGCAGTTTTAAATCCTTTGCGTGCATGCATACCTCATCAGTGATTGTACATACCTTGCCCCCTCCTAGAGACAGCTGTGCTCACCTCTTTCTGCTTTGTGCCTTGACCAAGGCTTTTGACCCTAAATTCTGAAGCACAGCCAAGATAAATTACATTCCTTAATTGTCATTGTAAATTACCTTTATTGTGTGTACATTTTTACTGTATTTGACATTTTTTTGTGTGTGACTAGTTAATTTTGCAGGATGTGCCATATCATTGAATGGAACTAAAGTCTGTGACAGTGGACATAGCTGCTGGACCATTCCATCTTATATGTAAAGAAATCTGGAATTATGATTTTAAAACCATATAATGTGGTTATAATTTTCTTAGCATTTTCTTTGTAAAGAACTAAGATATAAACTAGTTGGTGTATAATAAAAAGTAACAAAATTCTGAAAAGAGTTTTATCTTAGGGTAATACATATATATGCAGTGTGTGTTCCAGTGTGGTATTAACAGGACTAATAGTGCAATTTGATCCTTACCAATACCATTACTTAAGTTAAAAGTGTCCATTAGCACCCCAAAATGTACCTTCTAAATGTACTGATAAAGGAAATTGGCTTCTGATGCATGAATATTTACATGTACACTGAAAGTAGTCCATAATAGAACTGTTAGTTTAAGCCAAGAGTAGAAAGTACATAACTCCCATGAGAAAGAATTAAGATGAAAGAGAGTTGACTTTGCCTTAAAAGGCAGATCAAACCCAAGCCCATCCATTACCTAATGTGTGACGTTTCATTCTTACTTGGTGAGAATCACCAAAGTCTCGCCAATAAGTTCAATTAGGGTATGCTGCTTTTTAAATGGTGGCACTTATTTTTACAGATTGCTACTCCAAGGAAGAAAACTGGCCACTTTTCATGTATATATTTTGTTAAAAGATTTATATATCTCTCTAGGAGTTCTCCCTTAGTTCCTAGGATAGAGTCCAGGAGTAGATTAATAACAAAAAAATCTCCCAAGGATGTCTTGTTTTGATTTACTCAAAGGAACTACTGCTCATTCATTTGAGGCAAAGGGAAGCTATGAATAGAGAGTTACATGAGCCAGATTCCCTACTTCATTGTTCATAGAACCCAGAGGGTAGTTGTGGGAAATCCTAACACCATGGTGAAATGCTCCTCTGTAAACTTGAAATCTAGAACAAATGTAGATTTTCACAATGTGCTTATTAATAAATATCTATGGAATGGGTTTTAGAGATAATTTACTTCAGTACAATCACCTTTGTTTTGGAAGGGACTCAGGTTTTCTTGCAGTTGTAAGATATGTTCTATTTGTGTTTATTTCAAAGAGAAGAGGAAGAATGGAGCAGATACTATTGACCTTTCAGAGGCTGCTTAAAAAGGTAGTTTTTGAGGCTAACCAACCTTCAGAGGGCAATAAAGAGATGTGAACTTGCTCACTTTAAAGCACAACAGATTATTCTTAATTTATTAAATAAGATGGGTACTATCTCTGGAAGATCTCCTTAACGTTCAAATATGCTGCCTTATACTATTACTGGCTTCATTCTAATCAGTAATCAAGGTCTATAAAAGATTAGTGCCAGAAAAGATTTTGGTGGTATAATCCAAACCTTCAGTTTTACAGATAGGGAAAACTGAAGGCCAGAAAAGGGACTAAAACTTAGTAGTTCATAGGGGAAGAGTTCAAGAGGAAATAGAGGGAAAGCTGAATTAATTCTTAAAATTTTTAAGGCTAGAGATGGTACTAATAAATTTTGCAAAGTAAGTAGTTTTGTGATAGTAAAAAAAACTCAAGGTATATTTAATATTTATGTAGAAGTGGCTTGATGCAGCTATTTAAAGAATTTTTTGGATCTGGATTAAACATTCTTACTTTCTCAGATTTCTTGAAAGCTGATATTCCTATTAATAAGTAATTATTTATATAGGAGTGTTTTAGTATATCACTCTGAAGCCAGAAAAAAATCTGTTTAGGTAAACAACTTCCTTTCTAGGTTTACTCAGTGTACCTTTGTTAAAATAATTTGGAAGCAGTCTTTCTATTAAGTTAGGCTTTAAAAAAGTCAGTTATTGATTAAGATATTTTTATTAATTTCCTTATATAAATAAAATAATCAGGTACTATAGTTCTTTATCAAAAGACATTAACAACACTTAGTATTATATTTATAATGATTTAAACATAGTAGCTAATTAAGACTTGTTTAGGGCGCCTATTTAAATTGTCAACCGGCCATTTTACAAACAGCTTAAAACTAAGCATTAGTATATGAAAAAGATGCTGGAACTTTTAGTTTTCCAGAAGTCACATGAATACCAAGAGCTTCTAGTTATGAGAAAGTGGCTGGTTGTGATGTTTGTTTTAAATAAGTTGAAGGGCAGAATTTGAACTTCAAAGCCAGTTTTGATTTATAAAACCCTTTGAAATTTTGTTAAACCTGTGGCTTTCCCCAAGAAAAAACATACTGTCTTATAGTTCATTTTATTCTAGTTGAGCTTCATTATTTCAGTTGAGGAACCAGGCCCAGAAGTCACATGCCTGGCACCACCGCATGGTGGCGGTAGCGGACTCACATTTATCCAGAACCTGATGGAGCCTATGAATGCTACAGGACATCTTGAACGCATAGGCAGTAAGTGAAAGAAGCTGTATAAGATAAACAAGGAATGAGAGAAGCAAAATAAGAAACAGTTGTTTTATTGTGCAGATTAATAAAAAGAAATACTACGGGAAATATGTGAGTTAAGCATATTTTAGTTTTTTTTTTTTTTACTATTTGAGGGACAAAGACCTAGAGAGGTCCTCATAGTAATATATAACATAGAAAATAGAACAGTAATATCTTTATACACTAATCTGTTAGAAATGGTAACTTTTAAGTGTAAAGTTGTGCGTGCCTGCGGCTCTTGAAATTATCATGCAAAGATTGGACCCTGCCCTACTTTAGATACTAAAAACACACCAAAACCAAAAAAAACTTGGGTACTTAGAATTGACTGACTTACTACCACAAAAATTCAGAGTAATAAATGGTGACAGTAGTAGGAAGTCAAAAATAGTCAAGCACATATGGTCCAGTGAAGAAAGGCATGGTTCATCTTTTCAAATTGTTAAAAATATGTAATTCCAGTTTCTTTTTCTTGAGTTTGGAAAATTCTGTTTTCCAGATTCCTAAGAAAAATGTATACCTTCTGCATTGAATCCATGTAGCAATCTGAAAAAAGAAACCAAAATGAAATGGTATTGAAAAAGTAATTTATTGCATATAATACACAGTTCCTATACCACGAATTCTAAAACAAACATCAGCAAACCTCCGAAGCCCACCTCTTCCTAACACTAGTCATTACAGAAACTTTACTCTTCAATTAAATTTGCAAGGTATATATTGGTTAAAATCACATCATTCTTTGACCTCTTTTGTCACAGCCTATGTGTCTTAAGTTATGGTAACGCTGACCAAATTATCTTAGATCTCCACTATCCAGACATAAGACCTCAGTGGCCCTTGTTCCGTTTCAACATGGTAAGAAAACAGGAGATAATTTTACATGTTCATTTTTCCTCTCTGGGCTCACTTACTGAGGTTCCAATTAAGTACTTAACACATTGCTTTTCTCTCGATACCTTTGTACTTACCAGATCCCAGTTAGCAAACTTAATAACCTTGAAGAAATTTGGTGAGAATTAAAATAAGATGAACTATTTTTGTTTAGAACTAAGATGATTTTCAGGATGGCCCATAGGAAGAGTTGAAGGTGGATTAGAATGTTTGAAAAGGAAGATCGGTACTTATGAATAATGTTCAACTCCTAGGATTAACCTCTGATGAAGACTCAGTAGTACTGCCTGCCAACATAAAATATAAACCCCATCTGTCTCATATGAAACTATGCTGCCAGCTTAGAAAAGTCAAGTCAGTTACTTTTATAACAATCTACCCTCATTTTTAATTCAGCTCCTAGAACATGGACCTTCTAAACATGAATTGGCTAAACAGGCAAAAGCTGTTAAGTGATGGTATATTAGGAAATCAAAGTGTAAATGCTTAAAAACAGTGAGCATAGGTAACTGAAGGCTTAATCTGCTTTCATAAGACTAACTTAATTCAAGGAAAATACATTTTGGTCTGGACTACCCCATTAATTGTGACACCCTTCTTTTATTTTAGGTATGTAGAACTTGCCTCATTCTACAAAACAAGTAACTAGATTACTAAACCAGTTAGAACTGAAAACCAGGTATGATTATAATTGACATTATTTCATGTGTAGGATCTGTTTAACAATAGCTCTTCCCGGTACAGAAAAAAAAATGAGAACCAATGACATGCATTATGCTTCTTCTACCTTAACAAGCTACTTTGAAGACACACACTATTAAGACTAACTATGAATGGGAGTTTGGGGAGGAGGCTGAAGGGGAGGAGCACACATACCACAACACACATTGACACAGAGGCTGTCTCCAGGCTCGGACTGTTCTTTATTACCGTTCTTAAAATGTTCATTCTGCTGCAGCTAACTAGCCTCCATCTTCTACACCAAATACTATTCCATGCCATGGAAGTGCTATGCAATAACTCCAGGTAGCACCTTATACCGCTTAAAAGCCTTTAAATCTCTAATCTGAAGGTGTCACAGTAAAGAAATGTAAACACTTAGGAGAAAAGGAAAATGTTATTACCTGATGAAGTCATCTATGTCCATGGAACGGGCCCGCTTGTCACTAAAACCTGTGCTGGTTAGGATTTGCTGTATTTTATCTGCTATGCTGAAATCTTCTGGTATTATCTATCAATATAAGATTCAGAATAAATGAACAACATATCTTTAATGAAGTCATGTTGGCTCTCTCTTTTTTTTTTTTTTAGTTCAGTAACTGATAGTCACCTTTATTTGCTCACGATAGTTTGAATAGCTTATTTGTGCAGATTAGAATTGGACCTCTAATTATTAAGTAGTTAATTTTCAGCATATACCAAATACTCAGAAAACTCTGAATGAGTTAAACGTATATACTGCCCTTTTTCTTAAAAATTCTGAAATAGTTAAGTTTCTGGAGTTAAGGTACTTCATATCAAAAAATAATTAAAGCTGTAAACTGAATTTTACAGCAACTGTTACTCCTTTAAAAATATCTCACATTTTCTTGGCACAAATTTAATTTTATCAGCCCGTTTTTCTCAAAGAGATGACCTCTGACCCTGGGGAATATTAAACATTTTATACCTCACATCTTTCCTCCAAAAATTTTTCTTAATCCAGTTTAATATTTTCCTACCTAGGCAGATGTTTAATGATTTTGTCCATAAAAGAGAAAATGAAGGTAGCAATATGATATATTAAACCATACAAAATCTGAGTAAAAAAATACAATGGATATTTGCTCTTGTCTTTCTGCTCTTTTTAATGTGAAAGAACTAAAAAGTTATCAAACATCACAGTTATATTTATGGCTATATGTATGTGTGCTGACACACATAGAAAATGGGGTGAAGAAAATGTTGCACAGATAGTAAAGAGGCATGAGGCTTACAACTGTAAATCTGCTATTCAGCCTATACTTAATTCGAATTATTTCAATTTCTGGGTATTAAAAAAAGTTACCCAGAAAATGCAGACTTTAAATTGAATTGCTTCATGATCAACAAACAAGGAATGGTCACAATTCAGAGCATAGCAAATAGTACAGACTTTGAGCTAAGGGGAGGAGCTAAATACCTAAACTTTGGGGAAATTACACATACCTAAAGCCTTGGGGAAATTATGACTCAAATGAACAGCTTTTTATGTCTAAAAACAACTAGTTAAAGAAGCTCAGGTGGAGTAATCAAGGCCACTCATCTATTCCAGGAACACACAGCAGTATTGACCTATCAGAGCAAGTTAAGGTTGTGCTAGTTAATAGATTACTTTTAAGAATCCTCTGGAATGTACCAAATTAAGAATCAAGTGATGATAGATGAAAAAGAATAGGAAGTAGAGGGACATTTTAAAACACAACAATTCAGAACCAGAGACCACAGAAATATTTCTTGCTTACAATATTATGGACTGAACAGTGAATTCTGTAGTTTCTTTCCAGTAGCTGTTGCACTGCACTTGACCTATAACATAAAGAAGCGATACTGCTATTATTTTTCCAAAATTAGAGATTATACTTTCCTTTCAGTTTATGGTAAAGTTAAATGTATGTTCCATGTAGTAAAATTAAGGGACTAAAAGGTGTTGAATATTTAAACCTAAGAAACAATTGCAAACTAGTTACATTTAAAAAGTTCTAGTAAAAATCTCTGAAATTCTTAAAGGAGTTCTAGACACGCCACAAAAACATCACCTTAAAAAGAAAAACGCAATAACAGCTTTCAGAACCTCTCTTTTGCCCTTGGGCTTCAAACTGCTACTTAAAAATGTTTCCAAGTTAATAAAATTGCATGAATTTTTCACAAGTGTGGAAAGGGGCCACCATCACTCTGTTTTTCCAAGGAAAAATGAAACAGATGTGTGGTAAGTTTTGGGAGTTTTTATATTCCTCTTTTGCCAAAAAATCTGATCTAATTCCAAATTTCAGGAACTTCCTTTGTTAAATTTTCCTGCCCCTCAAAGTACAAGTTGGTGAAAAGGACAAGTGTGTCTGGACATGGGTAATCCTTATGTTCAGGATAAGGACCAAATGCTATCATTTAGCACAGTTCTATAGCACTGGTCCTTCATCTATCATAAATGAGTAAAATACTCACTTAAATGCAGCAGAAAGTGTCTTGTTTTTCCTAACGAAGGTGATCCTTACTAGGCCATCCCATTCCTGAAACAGAAGATGAATTATTTCTTAAAATATCAAACCTTACCTGTGTCGGCTAGGTATTATATTGTCTTTTAATATATAAAACTGAAAGAACTTTCTGGAGTGATGAAAGTGTTCTGATCTTGATCTGGTTGACCCATGCAAAGATATGTACTCGATTTTTGGCACTTTTGTCTACCTCACTGAAAATTTTATCCTCAATTTTAGAAGTTAGGAAAAAAAATGTTCCACATCTGAACAAAGTATGTGACATTTATTTAAATCAAAGTACATTTTCAAAAAACAATTCAAAACAGACATGATTTAGAATATAGCTTGTGCAACATACCTGACCCACCCTATAGGAGTAATTAACAAACCACTCCATTACCAGGAGTTACCAACCACACAACTAATCATGTGCAGTATGGTTTTACATGAAGTGATGCAACTTAATTCACTTTTTAAATTGCAGAAACATAAATTATGATTGAAAATTGTTATTCATAATATTGCCCTAACAACTATTTTCATTTTAACTTGTTTTCTGAGTCTACTCAAATAGATACATGTTTCTATAGCTGTACTTGTTAGCAAAATGCAAAGCCACTCTAAGTTGTACTTTCTGCAAACATTTTCCATGCTTTTTTGTGCTCTTCACAACGATCTTACATCCAATTATTCCATCTACTCCCAACCTAGGGATGTCATAATTGGCATTTTCCTGTTTAGACATTTAGATTAACTCAGTATTTTTCTGCTACTAGAGACACACGTTTTCCAGTTTGGTCTTTTTTCCTCCTTTACTAAACGACCTAGTACTTTAACCTCACCTGAAAATTGATAGGTGGTGGCGGATTCTTAGGTTCTATTCTTACAACACTGGATTCTACCTTGGGAGGTGGCCTGAAGTTATTCTTTCCAACCTGTTAATCAGAAAATGAGTCCTCTAAAAAAGAATTTTAAATTAATAATCAAATATGCATTCCTCACAGAAGGCACAATTAGATGCTGACGGATGACGTAAGCCACATTATTTTACTAACAGTCACTTACTTTCATCAGATGGTCCACTCGTGCTAACAGCTGTGTATTGATTGAGAGTCTGCAGTATAATTTATCTCCAGGCTTTGCAACTAGTCGGAGAGCAAATTCTCTTTGAAACATAAGTATAGCACATCTGAAGACATAGTAGGAAGGAATAAGGAAAATGGTTACTTTTAACTATAAAGGTATGTCAACATCAGTTTTCTTAGGTAGGAAATAGAGCAAAGCAGTATCTGGATAATGAGAAGTCGTTTAGCTGATTAGAAGGCAGACAACTTTCAGCTTTAGATTTATTACCATAAAATGAGCCAGTTGGCTTTTCATTTTATAATGGCTGCACCACTAATTTACACATATAAACCCTTCGTGTTTAGATGAGAAAGTATTTCTGATAAGCACTAGTTCATTAACCCTTCGAGGAAAAAAAAACACCTCAAACCAAATTGGCTTGGCAGCCCAATGCTATTTATGGGGAAGGAAACCCCCTTATGGAAGAGCTGAGGAGGAGAGGAGGTTGTGACACTGGTGTCCTGATTTCCGAGGCTAAGGAGCATGGATGTCAGAAAGCAATGCAGAGGCTTTTTGGAGGCTCCTGCATAGGAGAAGAGCATCTTCAAAGCTGGGTTTTGAGTTTGAAACTTTTTTGACAATGAGCCATACTAAGAAAAATATTTAACACTGCAACCTACGCCACAAATATGTGTACATATATGTGTTGATGTAACTCGAGCAAAAGTTTCATAAAACTGTAAGTACCCGGCCACATGCAATGAATGTCTTCTGATAGACTCTATTCCATGTCATTAAAAAAAGAAAAAAATGATGGTCATGACTCAATAAATTTATAAGCAGTGAGAGATTTCTGAATTGCAGTTTGAAAACCCCTGTTATGTAATGTGCTAGTGACTAGTCAGGAGGCCACTGCAACTGTTCAGATTCAGGGTAATAAGGAGTCTAACCCAGACTAATGGCAAGAGTATGAGAAAACAGGGAAAGGCCATTTGGTCTCAGAGGCAGTCCTTACATTGCACATCCCCACCGGAACTCTGTCAACTGAATTAAAAAAGAAAGACCTCCACAGAAATAGATATTTTCTACAAAACATTCCCCAATAGTTTTTTAATTGAATTAACTTCTATCTTTGGCTCTCTGTGTTTATGGCCTAAGATTTGGCAGTAATTTTTTGGTCTTTTGTCACAAACCTGAAAAAAGGTCGGTGTAGCAACAGTTTGAAGACAAAAGGGGAAGAGATCTGTAAGAGAATTAACTAGTTATTTCTGGGTAAGACACACCATAGAAACATTCTGTATAATGTTCCCAACAATATGGAAACATACCTGATATGGCAAATTTGCCACACAAGCATCAAAGAATGGCAGATCTGTTTTCAACACATCACCTACCAGTACTTGAAGTTTGCTGGCCAGAGGCCTAATGAAAAGAAAAATAGCAATTAAAAAACAGTACTGTTTCATGAGATTGAAATGCACTTTAATTCTGTCTTGCATACTCATACTCACGTGCCCTGAACTCTTTTGTGAAGTTCCGCTACTAGCCTTGGGTCAAGTTCACAGGCAACCACCTACATTTAAAAAAAAAAAAAGTATTTGGGGGTTAATTATGGAGTATGAATCTTGTTATCTCAATCCTAACTCTTACATGATCAACATGAATCAAACTTTTTTCCACAATATTACCTTCAATTTTCCTTCAATTCTCTGCCATTTCAAACAACAAAGAACAGCGTTCAGAAAAGCAGACTGTGCTCTCTGGCCCCTGTTCAATGGCTCCCACTCTTACTGGGCAGTTCCTCCTTGTGCTCCTTGAGGCCTTTGATGGTAACTGTTTCCTGCTGTTGCTAGCCCATGGGTATTCCAGTAATGCCGACTGGTTCCCTTAACCCCATTCCTACATTTTGGATCCATTTAGTTGGCAACTGGGTTTCCATGACACACAGAAGCTACCAGCAGCAGCCAGGTGGCATCCTAATCTCATGATACAGTTCTTCAGATCTCCTCCTCTAGGTTCCAGTACTCCAGCCTCCTTACTTGTTCCCCTGAGCCTAGAGGTGGTAGCTCCTCTTTGTAATTATTATTTTTGGGTTACTTCAGTGTTCCCATTTTCTTTTTATTTATTTAAAAAAGATTTTATTTATTTACTTATTTGACAGAGAGAGAGAGATCGATCACAGGCAGGCAGAGAGGCGGGGGTGGGGGGTGGGCAGGGAGCAGGCTCCCCCCCGAGCAGAGAGCCCTATGTGAGGCTCTATCCCAGGACCTTGAGATCGTGACCCGAGCCAAAGGCAGAGGCTTAACCCACTGAGCCACCCAGGTACCCCAGTGTGTTCCCATTTTCTTTCAGTCATCTAACAACCATGTCAACAACTCCCTATATTAAATACCCTGTATTGAAAAATCGAATGTGTTTTCTGTTTTGCTGATTAATACATCCCATATTCTCTTTATTCTAATCCAATTTTTGAAATCAAGATATAATTCACATTATAACATATTAATTTCAGGTGTATAACAATATGTTTATATACTTCAAAATATGCATATATTGTGTAAAAGTTAGTTAGCATCCATTGCCACACATATATATAAAATTTTTTTGTCTTGTGATGAGAACTTTTAAGATCTCCTCTCTTAGCAGCTTTAAAATATACATACAATATATATTGCTAACTATAGCGACCATGCTGTAAATTCCATTCCTAGGACTTAGATTATAGCTGGAAGTTTATAGGTTTTACCACTTTTATCCATTTTGCCTGTATTTGTTAAGATAAAGCCATGAGCAAAGTATCAAGGGTTGCTGTTAAAGTAACAGCGATTAATTAAAATAGATTTCTGTTTGTAAACCAGGTGAGCCTATTCACATATAGATTTCTGATACCAAAACAAATAATTCCCTTTTTACCTTTTTTGCCTTTTCCAGCAACTTTACAGTCATATTGCCAGTTCCAGGTCCAACTTCCAGCACCACATCAGTTGGTCTTAAGGCAGCCTGCAAGGAAGCACAGCTACTTTAGCTTTACTGGCACATCCGAACACATCATTTATTTTACACCTGAGTGTCTTTGCTCAAAAGCACGTGGTTAAGAGATTATTCTGACTCCACTTCCATGAGATTCCTTCAGATCTATGTGCTTGACAAAATTTTCTCATTAACATTAGGTAAAAGTGGAAATCTGTCACCTCTCCTAAGCTGGGGCAATGGTTGGGAGTCAGAAAATTTTAGGACTCAGAAAAGCAGGAACTTTCTGGGAACGGCTTTCTGTTCTACCTCAACGGCTTTCTGTTTTCTACCTCCAACAGCATCTTTTAGCCAACTCTTATCAGTAAGTTCAAACAAGAAAGGACTGTATATGATGACCTTGCCTGAGAATCACAGCATGTTGCACTGGGATTTCTCAATTTTCAACCCATGTATGGTTTCAGGGATAGGAATACCTAGAAATTGTACACAGCCCCAGATGTTTGTATGCACAAAGCTGCAGTGTGCTGGATACAAAGCTTTCATCAGCTGCTCAAAGGAAATCCATGAGCCAAAAAGGTTAAAAAAAAAAAATCAGGCAAACAACACTAGGTCAAGATGAGAGCCTCTAAATATGTAATGTTCTCTCTAGAGCTCTCTAGAGCTCCAGGATGCCTCCTCTGTAACTGTGAAAGTAATCTGTATCACATACATTTCATGTTCCAGCACTCTCATCATCCAGAACAGTAAGAGAACATCCACATCACCCACACAAGAAGAATACTCCAAAGGGTTTATATGAGGCACTGGATTGTAACATTTAAGTTTCTCTGCGGAAAATACTTAAGCTGTCATTATGACATCTTTTTAGGCTCTGGAGTAAATAAAAACTAACAGTGATAGATAGTGTCTAGAAAAGTGATTAGAAATAGAATAACAATAATCTGGAATTGAACAAGTACAAATGTCCAGCTATGAAGTAAGTAATCTACAGAAAGAATTTCGAGCCAGGAGACGCCCAGACCACAGAATAAAGCAAATCATGCCAAAGTCAGCCTATGAATCCCAGACAATTCTTCAACTCATTCTACAAATATTTATAACCTATTTTGTGGCAGACATCCTCCGTGCATGGAAGTATTCCTAAGAATAAAATCAATAACTCAACAACTCTCTCCTTTTCCTCTTCCACACCAACCTTATCGATAATGCTGTTAACAATGAGAGGGTTTTTCAAAATATGCTGTCCAATCCCCGTGTTGAACATGAGTCCTGGAAGAAAATACGAAAGAGCCTTAACTTCCCAAAGAAAAGCAGACATTAGACCGTCCCAGAGGAGAAAGCAGGGTGGCTGGGGGAACTTTTCTGCGCCAACGAGAGCCATCATCGAACGTCACGCTCGGAGACGAGGTGACCCAGTGCTTTAAGTCCACCCCTTCTTCAGGAAAGGAAGGCAGATGCGGCCCAAGGCCTCGCCGGCGATCCAGGAGCGCCGCCGCCACCGGCCTTACAGTCCTGGGCCCAGATCTGTGTCCGTGTCCCCGACTGGGTCCTGCGGGATGATCACACCTGAACACAGCCCCTTCCCGGCTGTCCCCACCTCCGGCGCTCTTCAGCTCCCGGCTCTGTTTGAGCCGCTCGCGCCGCCGACCACTCGTCCCCGACTTGATCTTCGGCATCGCCACAGGCGCAGACCCACAGGCCTTGGAGATCAGCGTAGACCAAATTCGGCTACCAAGCACCAACACGTGGGAACTCCCACCCCGGCACTGCCTGCACCACACTCCGTCACGTGGGGGAGGGGCGAGGGCCCAGCCCCAGTTCGCCGGGCGCTCCGCCCCCAGGAAGGGGACAGACGTTGGAGCCCCCTGGCGGCCGGAAATTGTAGTCATGAGAAACAGCCTTAAACTGAATAGACTACACATCCCAGAAGACACCGCGCCGTCTATCCTGGCTGTTTGGATTGGCTAGTTTAGAAGCAGAGCCGGGCTTCTCTTTCCTGTCATCGCGGAGTGGGTCCGGTAATTTTTGGGGTGGTGCTCTCACAGATGTGGAGGCGGTTTAAATTATATAATGCCGTTAGAAGTGTGGATGTTGGGGCGCCTGGGTGGCTCAGTGGGTTAAAGCCTCTGCCTTCGGCTCAGGTCATGATCCCAGAGTCCTGGGATCTGTTCGGCAGTCTGTTCGGCAGGGAGCCTGCTTCCTCCTCTCTCTCTCTGCCTGCCTCTCTGCCTACTTGTGATCTCTGTCTGTCAAATAAATAAATAAAAAATCTTAAAAAAAAAAAAAAAGTGTGGATGTTTCCTCAAGCCAGGTGCTAACACCGGTGGAATCCAGAGAAGATTTGTTTCTGTCCTGTGCCTCGCTCCTGCTTTCCAGCAAACTCTGGGGTGGGATACCAGGATCTTGGTATAAGGGGCTTGCTCCTTTGGGCGAATGAGTTCACTGCTTGGGTGTGGAGAGAACCTCCCGGAATGCAACAGATATTTACTTCCATTAGGGCTACTAGCTGTTTTGCTTCCATTTGTGGCATTGATTCATTCCCAAAACGTTTATCGAGCTCCAGCCGCGATTAAACATTACTGGGTGCTGGACATTCAAAGTTAAATAAGAAAATTAAATAAGAAACTGCTCTTCCCAGAGTCAATTCTATTGAAAGAGAGAGGCAGAAAGTCCGAAACGCAGTAAAAGTGAATATGTTTTTGTGTTGGGTGTATCCGATTGTTAGCTCCATGAGTATGAGGTCCACGTCTGTTTTGCCTGCCAATGTAACGATTCTCAGTTTTTAGTTTTTCAGTGTGTGCTGTATTTTCTTGAAAAAAGATGCTCCTGTTTGGATTACCAAAACCGCCTCTTCCTCGCGCAAATAATATGTGTGCATCCCCAACCCTTGGTCTTTCTTTGCTGTAATTCGAACTCAAGAAAAATCTCATAATCTTAGAAGCATCTTTAACTACTTATTTCATTCCATTAATTACTAATTTATTACACAATTCTGGAGAACCTACGTGTTCCAGGTACTGTGTCAGATATTAGGGATAAGCAGATGAACATGACGCGACCACTGCTTTTTAGGAACTTTCAAGAGAGGGAAACATGCAAGTTATTATAATAATAACATCCTTAGCTGTTCAGTTACACACCAGGTACTTTGGGTACATTATTTCATTTAATCTTTTCAAACAGTTGTCTGAAATAGGTCTTATCATTATATCCATTTTACAGATGAGGTGGCTGAAGGATAAAAGTGTTTACTATTTTGCTCAAGATCACACAGTAAATGATAGCTGCATCTTGAACCTAGGTCTGTATTTCAAAGATCGTGGGTTTTAAGAAAAAAGTATGATGATGATTAGTGCAGTGGCTAATATTTGAGGAACTTTGGGAACATTTTCAAAATACAATATTTGAGTGGAGTCTTTAAGGGATAAACAAAAATTAGCCAGGGGAAACTTGGGAATTCAGAGGAAACCGTAGTCACAAAGACAAGATATAAAGAGGTTTAAGGGAGAAAAAGAAACTTGGTATAGCTCAGGAATAAATAGGAGAGGTAAATAGGGCCTTACTACGAAGGGTCTAAGATGTTGTGCCAAGGAGCAATGATGGTCACTGAGGAACCAGAATAACCATTTTGCATTTTCTTTTCCTCTCCAGGCTGTGAGAATTGCCAGAGATCACACAGTAGTGTAGATAGGAAACATTCATGGGCTCCACTTTAGCTCTTGCTCTCTTAGCTCTAGCACTCTTCTTGAATTTTCTCCAATCTCTCCCATTGTCCATAAAAGATCTTCAGACCTGCTGAATTATTCTCAGGCTCGTTTCCACTACCACCTCCCCAGTTCCCTCTCAGCAGAAGACCTTGCCTTTTACTTCATAAGAGAAGTGCAAGATCGCCTCAAGATCGTGCTCATCTTCCTGGGTTACTGTTCTACACTCTGAGAAAAGCAAAATGGAATTTATGTTCTGGTGGGGAAAAAAAAAACACTTTATGTCAGGTGGTGATGAGTATGCAGGGAAAAGGAAAGCAGAGGAGATAGAGATCAACAGGATGGGTTGGGGATGCTATTTTATATAGCATGGTCTGTCAAGGCTGTTATTTCCATGATGGAAATAATCTGATCAGAGACCTGAGGACACGAATCTAGAAGTCTCATACCCTGGCAGTTTCTGCTGTAACTAACTGCAGTAAGTGAGGAAAGCATGAAGGTAGGAGACATTGTGAATGGAAGAAGTACAATGGTACAATAGAAGGAAAGAGGGGTGAAATTTTTGTTGGGAGAATTAATATGGACAGGCCAGGGAGAGCTTGAGATTTTGGAGAGGGGAGATAATTCTACTAGCTGGGGGGAAAAAGGTTTAACATTAAACTTTTAGGTGAATCTGTGTCCTAGACAGAATCCCTCTTTTCATAGTTCAGGGTATTACTGCAAAATTAAGTCTCCTTTGCTTTTGCTTAAGAGTGAATAGAGTAGATAACAAGGATGGAGAACCAAATGATAATCAAATGATATTTTCTTAGGAGTAAAAGACCAAGACCCTCCTAGAGGAGACCACATGTTTTAAGGCACAGAAAACTAAATGACTAAGGTGAGTGCGTACATTTAACTTACCTAGAATCTAAACCCATGCTTGTCTATATGTGGATCTTGGACCACCTGTATCAGAAACAGTGCGGCACCTGTTACAGCTGAATTGTATCCTCCCCAAATTCATCTGTTAAAAGCCCTAACTTCATGTACCTCACAATGTGTCTCTATTTGGAGTTGGGACCTTTATTTTTTTTTTTTAAAGATTTTTTATTTATTTATTTGACAGAGAGAGAGATCACAAGTAGACGGAGAGGCAGGCAGAGAGAGAGAGAGAGAGGGAAGCAGGCTCCCCGCTGAGCAGAGAGCCCGACGCGGGACCCGATCCCAGGACCCCGAGATCATGACCCGAGCCGAAGGCAGCAGCTCAACCCACTGAGCCACCCAGGCGCCCTGGAGTTGGGACCTTTAAAGAGATGATTAAGCAGAATGAGATCACTAGGCTGGGCCCTAATCCAACAACTGGTATCCTTACAAAAGGAGGACATTTGTATACACAAACAGCAGGGGTGTGTGTGTGCACAGAGAAGACCTTATGGGGATGTAGGGAGGTGGCCATCAACAAGCCAAGGAGAGAGGCCTGAGGAGAAATCAACCATGCTGACACCTTGATCTTCAGTTTCTAGCCTCTAGAACTGTGAGAAAATACATTTCTATTCTTTAAGCCACCCAGTCTGTGGTATTTGATACGGCAGCCCGAGCAAACTAATATAGCACATAATGAAAATTCACATGTCTAAGCCCCACCCTGAACATTCTGGATCAGAGTAAGATTGGGCCCTGGCAAATGCATTTTTAACAAACCCTCTAGGAAATTCTGGTGTGTACCACAGGTAAAGATTTGTTACTTTCTGCACTAAAAGTAGATTAAGGAAATTCTATAGAAATAAAAGAACATGGGGAGGGCTACTGTCATTAGTATGGGAGACTTGTTCTTATAATTGGGGTCCTTTATTCTTTTGCCCATATTCACAGATTTTTTTTTTTCTGTTAGTATCAAGGGAGCATTCAGAAGTGAGATAATGTTGGGTGCACCGTGGATCCGTAAGTCCTAGAAAATTGTGTGACACTGGGTTATGAGCTGCATTAAAGACAGGAGTATTGGGAGTTTATGCTGGAATGTATTTGAGTTATCTTTGCAGCCACAAATGGCTTTGAATTATAATAAATAATTTTATGCTTCTCTGGTTCATATTTATCTCCTTTGTTAATGAAAAATAGTCATTTTTCCATTTGGATGTGCACAGTGGATTCTTTGCCATTCCTATATTTTTTGTTTTTTAATATAATATAACTTGGAAAAGAATTATAATAGCACTTGCTGTGGTAGAAGAAGAGGCTCACTTAAATTCACAGCATGCTTAAAATGATAACTTTTTATATGTGCCAGGAAATGTAATAAAGAATAACAATAAAATGTTGTAAGCATTTTCTTGTATAAAATATAGTTCCTTTAAAAAAAGCATTTTATTTATTTATTTGACAGGGAGAGAGAGCACAAGCAGGGGAAGCAGCAGGCAGAGGGAGAGGGAGAAGCAGGGTCCTTGCTGAGCAGGGAGCCTGACGGGGGGCTCAATCCCAGGACGTGGAGATCATGACCTGAGCCGAAGGCAGAGGCTTAACCCACTGAGCCACACAGGCGCCCTGGTAGAGGATATTCTTATATTCCCTCTTCCAAACTAGAAATCGTTTTATGATTTTCTTTGTTAAACTAATACTTAGGCATTGTAAAAAAAGTTTAGATAATAGAAAAGATTTTGGAAAATGAAACCCACCCCTCAGAATTAGCTTCCATTAATGTACTGATAGTTTCTAAGACTTTTTGGATATATTAGACTCTTCTGTTTTTATCTAACTGCATATGAAGGACATCTTTTTTTTTAAAAATATTTTATTTATTTATTCGACAGAGAGAGATCACAAGTAGGCAGAGAGACAGGCAGAGAGAGAGGGAAGCAGGCCCCCCACAGAGCAGAGAGCCCAATGCGGGGCTCGATCCCAGGACCCTGAGATCATGACCTGAGCTGAAGGCAGAGGCTCTAACCCACTGAGCCACCCAGGCGCTCCTGAAGGACATCTTTTAATGTTGATAAATACAAGTCTCCATCACCATTTTTAATAAGTGGATAGTGTTCTATGATTCTATTTATGTAATAGATCCTTATTGAAAGACATTTGTATTGTTTCAGATTTTTAAAAAATAGTGACTGAAACAATCTGCTACAAATTGTATTACCAAGGGCAGATCAACTAGTTTCTCAAAGACTTATTTTCCT